AGAGAGACGGGGGGAGAGAGAGAGAGAGAGAGAAGTGAGAAGGAGTTACTGAATATTGCACGTAGCATAACTAAACAGACCTAAACATGCATTGATAGGAAGGAGTACATAATACATTCATGATTCAGCAGTATATTTATTGGGAGAGCAGCATTTCTTTCACTGCTGCTTTAAATACAATTTTATGAGGCGGTTTGTGACGCCATGTGAGAATGAAGCTAATTGTCTATAGGCTATATACGCTACTGATGGTTTTTTATTCAGATATTCGCTATAAACCATGCGTGTCTGGAAAGGCAGCAAAAGGTTTGAGAAAAAAGCCGTTTAGGGCTGCATCCCCGATAAAATATTGATAAAATAAACAAGTAGAACACAATAAATTATCATAAACAGGAGTTCGATAACTGATCCCTATAGCTACCTGAAACCTAAAATGCATTGCGTTATAGTTTGCATCTACAATAAATTTTTAATCGAATCTCTGAAGGTATAAGATGTCTTAACAGTTTGAATGAAAGATGTATTTATACAATTCTTTTAGAGAGCTTTTTATGTAGTTCTACGAATGACCATGATGAGTAGTGAAACCACAAGGTTTTGACATTTCCGGTTAAACTCGCACTCCACTATAGTCAACCACTTCTAAAACGATCAAAACTAGCATGTCATGTAGTCGCCAATTTACAGACAGGATGGTGGTATGTTATTGCATTATCTTGGCAAATTATATAGCAATACACATAACTCAAATAGTGTGCACGTATGCTGACCATAATTTGCCTGATATTTTAGTTGCCGTGATAAGTGCCTAATGCCATAGAGAGAGGCAGATCAACTAAAACATGCATGGGTAACATAACGCTGCAAATATGAATGTCTTATGGGTAGATAACAAGAAGAGCACTAAAGCTATATAAAGATAGATAAGTGTTTAAAGCTGCTGTTTGTATATAATAATAAGTAGCAGTCATGAAATCATTCTTCCTAGGTCAATGCTTGTTGTTTTTTCCTTGTTTAAAAAGCCCAACTTGATAAATTAAAGATTATTTAAAAAATGTTGACTATCCCTCTTTTACGCTGATCAAACCACACTCACGCACACCCACAAAACATCGACGCACACACACACACACGCACACACGCACGCAAGTACACGCGCGCTCACCCACGTACACACAGATACTCTTGTATAAATCTAACACACATTTCTGCAACTATAGTGATTTCAAACTGCATTGTCCTTTTAGTTTTTACAACTTTTGATACCGCGCCTATCACTCCACTAACTGTAAAAAGATATAGTACATCATTGTGATTCGTATCCGTTTTCATCTCCATAAGATGCCGACTACGGGAAAACAATGAACCTCAGAAGATCATCAAATTAAACTTGAAATGGAATGGGATTTATGAGACGATCCCTGAACCACAATCCATGCATGTGAAGGTAAGCTGTGATCAAATATTAATAATTCCAATCACACTGTGTCAACTACAATGTCCTCATACATTGCTTCTTTTTCAATTCTCCTTGTGTCCTCCAGGCAGAAATAAATCCCAAACCATATTTATCAAACAAAATTCAGATTGAACGTGTGATTCCTTCCCGCAAATCTAACATCTCTATAGGATGCTGAAGGAGACTCCATGAAAAAAGGAAATACATCTTAAAGGCAGGGAATTCTACTACACTAGTTCAGATTTATGTATACTGCCACTCTGCTGTTCATAATGTCCCCATGTATCGACAACCATGTCCCACAATGCATGCATCATAAAGTGCATAACGGGCGCGTGATGATGCTTGGGAACAGGAACCGGAAATCGCTCTTTATACGTCTCCCCCGAAAAATGGCAACATTTAAAATACTTTACAGCATTGGAAGCGATGACAATAAAATACCCTGCATTATCGAATCAGAACGGTTCAAAACGTTAATGTGCGTATTTGTTCACGCATTTAAAAATATTGCACTTCTGCCGTAAACTCAGATGGAGAAAAATGTAACATTTTAAAACGGAACAAATAAATCTACAATTAGGCTTATATTGACTAAATCCAAATGACTGTTCTAACATATTTTTATTTGATATTTGCAGTTCATTTGCACATTCATAAGTCTCCATTGCACTGTAAACACGAACAGCTATATACCTAATTTGTTTTGTGGATATTCCTTTTGTAAGGATCTGACTTCACTCCATGGACTACCAACCACAGTGCGGATCCGCGAAACCTCGCCTACCCGGGGTAAATGGATGAACCCTAAGGCAACATCACTTATCAAACAGATTCGAACCCTGGACCTTCATCTGAAGCTTGGGCAAGAGGCCACTGCATATTTCGCGATCGGTATCATTGTTGGAGGGGATAAGAACACGAGATCAGTCGTCATCATATCAACAAACTCAGACGTCCTTCTTAGAGTTTCACCAGAGATGGAGGAAAAAACCGAAAGATATCAGAAACTGATGATGTCATATACTCGTGCTGATGTGGAGCTTATTCCTCCCGTAAGATTCTACTTTTGTTTTATAAAGCGGCGATTCAGATAAAAGAAAAGATCTAATAGCGCATCATAGGCCTACCTAAATTGAAAATATAAGAAGAAAAGTAACTACAACTGCCGAAAACATCAGTACTTTAAACACAACTCTAAAATGTAAAACAATATTTCATATATCTAATGATTTGAATCATATCAACAACAAAATTTGGCTCTTTTTTTTTCAATTTTAATAGAATCAATTACATGTTACATGATTTTCATATATTTTCTACTTATTTTCTGATTGAATAGGAAATCTTTATCAGAGAGCCTAAATGCTCGATATTTGTCACCGTGCCTTTGTGGGAGCTTGAATCATGGAACGTCAAACTCAGAAATAAGAAAGGTAAGTAATCTAAGGCCAGTCAATAACCCTAACTTAGTTTCATTAATCATTTTCAACTGGAAAATAATTTAAATCGATTTTATATTGTGCACAAACATTTCTTCTAGTAACAATAATGCATTTGACAAAGGTACAACCAAAACGTTTCACCATATATTATGATAAATGATGCATAATCCTCTCTCTCTCTCTCTCTCTCTCTCTCTTTTCTTACAATGTTTGCGTGTTTTTCCCCTCAAATACTAGATTGCAGAAAGTAACGTTAGCGTTTTGATTACAAATTTCATTTGTAGGGGATAAAGGCTTCACTGGAAGTCTGCCGAATTATCTTATTACTTTGATTGTGGGCTCATCCGGGTTAGAGCTCATCAATAAAATAAAATCTGAACGTTCTATTCTGACCTATGAACTTTGATTTTGTTACATTTCAATATCTTAGCTCCATTCTCGCGGCGATCACTGACATCTGTATGTATCACCGGACCTACTAATATTGAGAATCATTCTTACATCAACGTCGATTCCACCAAGACATTTCAGCATCCTCGTCCACGTAAGAACTTGTTACTAGTGGAACATAATTATGGAACCTATTTAGTTGCAGTATACGTATGATTGATATTCTCGCCTAGACAAATTATATTGACACTTTATTTGAATTGAAATATCAATATTTTGGGGTCATAATTATAATCATGATTTCTGTAATTTCTTGATAGTCTTGAATAAAAGAGAAACGTAAAATCATTACTGTATCAAGTTTATATTTTACTTTTTAGCGAAGGAGGATGGAAAGGAGATTTCACCACCTTCAGAAAAACCAAGAGGAACGAAGCCGGCTGATTCTAAAAAGGTATTATTACCATGGTAAATGTGTACCTGATTATAGGTTGTCATGCCACAATATATCCTTTAATTGTTTATACTATTCAAATTTACGTTATTAAGTATTAAACGGTATGCAAATTAAAGGCCTTCGTCGTAGTCACAGCCAGAACAATAAAACAATTCATAGAAACAAATATTCCTATATCAAAACTGAATATCGAATAATTTTTCCATTCAATAATTACTTTTTACCAAATGTTGAACGGTTTCCCTGAGCTAGATACATGATATAAACGGAAGGCTGGAATGCAAGAAATTAGCGCAATCTGTATAGCACACACGTCCCCTATAATCAACAGACTTTAATGATACATATATTTTTTTTTAGCAAGAGACTATCTGAGTAAAATAGGGGGATTTAGGATTGAAACATAGGGAGGCACCCCCCCCCCCCCTTCAACGACTCTTTATACGGCGGTAACCTAGTGTAACTTTTTGTTTCACGGGGGGGGGTCCTCCTTTGGATCCAACTAACCAATCAGTTTGTGACTTTAAATTCTTTTTAAAAAGGAAACTATAATAACGAAAATGTGTGAAGTGTCCTAGAAACCCTCTCAGTGTATCATAATTACTCCATCTCATTTCAGTTACAAACACGGAACTGCTATGCGGACGAACCTCTACCTGTTTTCAACAATATCTTGGACTCAGATAAATCTAAGGATAAGAAAGAGGATGATGACTGCGATCAGACTAGCAGATCTTCAACTTGCGTGACGTCAGATAGTAAGAGTAACATGTATAACTCCATTTCAGACACTGATGATGCGAAGACAATCGTAAAGAGTAAGAATCTTTATTTTCATTTTGTTTTCTTTCTTACAAATCCTAAAGATCATCTCACAGCATAAAAAATGTACCAGCTGCAAATTAAAATGATTCTTGAATCCTTGTCTTTTATATTCTTCTCCTGTTTCCGGTAGTTCAGAAAATTGCAGCTGGCCATAAAAGTTAATTTCTGTATCGGAAACATGTAAAATATTATCACTACTATTATTACTACAACATTCAGGGAAAGAATATATCACATTTCGTCATTGCCTTAGATTCGAAAAGTTGATAGTGTTGTTTGTTTTGGTATCCATAGATCCTCTCTGTAGGGTATTTAACAAACAAAAAACGTACTACAACTCTATGTTGCTGATTGTTCATCTTCTTTTTGTTTTTCGTATCCATTTTTTATAACGTTGTGAAGAAAAGCTCCCTTATATGGAAACATGGTGCTTGTTGTTTTTACAGAACATACCGGCAGTGCAAGGGATTCTATGCCTCGGAGTATCCCACCACCTGTACCGTATCGTAGACGTAAGAGTAAATCCTCCAAGTCGTCTTGGTTATCTTCCTTTCGACGCAACCCTCAAGCAGAGAATCGCCCCCTTCCGGACGTTCCCAAAGACACTACCCCTATCATATCACCCAGTGGTCAGCCCAGTGGTCAGGCCAGTGGTATATACATTACCCCTACATCATCAGCCAGGGTCAATGCTGATGTCGTCAGGAGTGGTCATCGTAAGTCACGATCATCGTCGTCCTCGTCAAAGAAGAAAACCAGGAGGAAGAGTGCTAATGATATGATGTCATCATCATCACGTGACCATTCTCCTAGTGGTTCTGGATTGAGTTTGGATTGTGCCATTGATGCTGATGGACCACCGTTACCTCCTCGTACACCATCGCTTGAGAAGTTGGAGAAACATCGCTCAAAAAGTAACTCTTTTTTAATTTAAATTTGAGTCTTTAATGATGTGTTTAAGTTTTAGTGGTTTTATTATGTAATATCTTCTCCGACGAGAGAAAGGAAGCCCTCATTTCATATTGTTTTGCGAATTTTGTCAAAAGACAATCAGATCAACACAAATAATTCGTTGTTATCATGAAGACCATCGGACAGATTAGTAAATGTGCCACGACTGTGTCAAGCTTTATACCTGTCTCGTCAAATATTATAATTTTCTTGAGAGTGTGAACATTTTCTGTAAAATTCAGAAGACTTCAGAGTGCAACCTTTTACAAACAAGCATCCTTGCAAGCTGGTTCCGATGCTAAATCTGCTGTTCGATATTTCTAGAAATGAAATGATAATGACAGTCTATATCAGTACGAAATGTCTATAGAAAAGGGTAAAGTAAAGATGTTGACTTAGCCTGGAGAATTTGTTTTTAAGCCCCACTGCACTACTTGTAGCTACATGCACCCTCGATTAAGTAAACGATGCCTAAGCGGTACCCGTTGATCCCTCATAACCCTCTTTTTCTTATGTACACTGAGAGCTGATTTGATGAGATAACCACTTGTCAGTGACCATGCAGGGAGGTCTAATCCCTCCTGGCCAAAGTAGTGTAGAAATGATTTAAATAAATGTCTTTCTCGTCATAATATGATGATAACTTCAGGTGGAAAACACAGCAAGGAATATAGGGATCCTCTCTCTCCGAAGTCACCCAAGGATCGCTCAGTATCTTTCGAAGGCGACAGTGACGTAGGGGCGACGAGCGGCAAACACCGATCCAAAGTACGACGCCATCATTCTTCTTCTAAACACAAACATGGAGAGAAGAAGATGAGACAAGGTCGAAAGATGTCTGCTCCTTCCATCATGGAACAGAATGACTCGGGTGCACAACAGATAGCTGTGAGTTTAACCCCAGCTCCTTTCTATTTATAGTCAAGTAGTATTTGAATGCTAAATTATTAGTATCTTTTACAAAATGGATGGGGAGGGCTAGAGATTGTTTCAAGAAAAAGCTTACAGCATAAGAATTGAAAATAATTGCAAAGATGGTGTCCTGGTAGTTTGTTGATTAGTTTCCTTGTTTCTCAGAAAAGTTATGAACAGATTATAAATATATGTGTTCTCATGATTGTTTTGTCTATTATATTTAAAGGTTGAACCATGATAAGCAGATTACTTTCGAACTTAGATCAATTGATTTCCAAAATAAATATCAATTGCTTCAAGATTATAGTTGCCTTTACACAAAATAATATAATGTTCTATCTTCTATCATCTTAAATCTACGTCTATACATAAATTAGATTTATGTTGTATGGTTACCTTGACTGCTGCTAGTAAAATCTGATTTATCTTTACAAAAACTAAACAAAATTACCGTTACCTTTCGATTGATAATTAAAGAAAAGATATACATAATTTCTCTGTTATAGGTCATTACTTGTGAATCTTTAACCTATTTAGTTGCTATATCATAATGACTATAACTATCATTCATTTATGTGCAGGATCATAGCTTTGAGGAGGCAACGGATTATCTCATTCCTAACAGCACTCGTGAGGATTCAAGCAAAGACGATACCGACGATGCTTTGTCTCTAACGTCATCTGTGACGTCACCTTTGACGTCACCCACTGTTCTTACATTCACTAGCCCTCTTAAACCGTGCAGGAAGGTGAGTGTAATACTAACGACAGCTCATCTCATTCTCTTGTGATTTTTTAACATCATTTTACCAATTTTACTTACACCCTCGCACTTTTAATGAAGTCACTGGGGTGAATATTGGTGTTTGTTTTCTGCCCGATGTTCACTTCATTTTTAAAAAAATAAACAATCGCTTTCAAAATGTCATCCGTCTGGCAACTTAAATTTCGTTTTAAGGAACAAGCAAAGTTAAGCAAGAAGGAAAACGTGTTTTTATGAAAAGGCATCTTACATCAAAATATGTTCCGAAGGCAATCGAAATGCATTTTTACATCCTGGTCGGAAAGTTCACACTGAATTCGATTTTCGAGCCTTCTTCGAGTGACAATCTAAAGATTCCGACGGCATTCGAAGTGCATTCCAGTTGGATTCTTTTAGTACCGAAAATATATCGAAATAGATACCAGCGGCAATCGAGATGCATTCGGGACATCCTTGCATTCTGGTTGGGACTTTCCTACTGGATTTGAGCCGCTTTCTACTACTTCTTCCTAAACCTTTTCCCCCTCAGCCTTTACTCTTCCTCTCTAAATCTCTCCCACTCGTAATTTTAATAAGTTACAGTGTATTTGCAAACGTTACTCCTCACTTTTCGGTTTTTACTCTCGATAGTTTCCACCACATATATTGCTCCGTTTACCGTTTATTGGATACTTCAGTCCTTCTAATTCTTCTCTCACATGATTTCAGTACAACTATGTTACTTTATGCTATTTAATTCAGATTTCTTTCTAATTTATGTTGCAATAACCTATATTTCTCGTATTTATACTGATTTGTTTTTCCAATTTAATATGTCAGGGTATGCTATATTATATATTACATTATGTGTTATTAATTTGTTTGTAAACCTTTGTAATTCGGCTTAACGCCGCGATGAAAGTTTTTATTAGAAATAAACCATTTTGAATTGAATTGAATTGAATTCAAGCGGCAATCTAAGGATTCCGACGGCATTCGAAGTGCATTCGAGGTGCATTCGGGACGTTCCAACTGCATTCGAGCTGCAATCTAAAGATTCCGACGGCATTCGAAGTTCATTCGAAGTGCATTCGGGACGTTTCAACTGCACTCGAGCCGCATTCGAGCTGCAATCTGAAGATTCCGACGGCATTCGAAGTGCATTCGAAGTGCATTCGGGACGTTCCAACTGCATTCGAGCCGCATTTCGGCTGCAATCTAAAGATTCCGACGGCATTCGAAGTGCATTCGGGACGTTTCAACTGCATTCGAGCCGCATTGGAGCAGCAATTTAAAGATTCAGACGACATTCGAAGTGCATTCCAGTTTGATTCTTTGAGTACCGAAAATATATCGAAATAGATTCCGGCGGCAATCGAAATGCATTCTTACATCCTGGTCGGGAAGTTCAAACTGCATGCGAGCCGCATTCGAGCTCAATCTAAAGATTCTGACGGCATTCGAAGTGTATTCGATCGCGACGTTCCAACTGCCTTCGAGCCGCATTCGAGCTGCAATTAAGATTCCGATGGCATTCGAAGTGCATTCGAATTGCATTCGGGACGTTTCAACTGCATTCGAGCCGCATTCGAGCGGCAATCTAAGATTCCGTCAGGATTCGAATTGCGTTTAGTTGGATTCTTTTAGTGGATCGACCAAATCAATTTATTCATTATAATATAATATTCGTTCACGTAACATGAGAGTAATTTTAATAGTTTCACACTTTTAATTAAATGTAATGTTAATTGTCACTGTATAATTGTTTTAAATGGGGGCACGCTACAAGAGACCTATCTCGCACCCCGGGGCAACGTGTCAGGCACGGCAGGTTGTAACAACTTCTCCGAAGATCAAGATACATTAATCTTGATCTAAGGAGACACGAACGAACGATCTAAAGAAGATTATCAATGTTAATCCAGAATTAATCCCCGCGGATTGGAAATATTTAAATGGCCCTTATTTTTTCATTTTGTAGAAATTGGATCACCCCCGTTGAAATCTGTAGTGGTTCATATTAATTTCTACACGAGTCTACAATGGACGGTTTAACAACTTTAATTAACCGCTATACGTTTGCCTCTCTCTCTCTCTCTCTCTCTCTCTCTTTCTATCCGCATATGTCATCAGTCCAACACGTCTTCATATACATCAACCAAACGGGTTCGTCTACCCGAGCGAACCTTCAACTCACCTGCAGAACTTCCACGTGATATGTCGGAACTGACCTGCGGAGAGCTCGGGCAAGCCTTGCGTTTACTACACATGAGGGAAGAGACTGTAGAACGTTTCGCTAAGCATCTTGTAAACGGGGCTCTCCTTGAAAAGATGGATGCGGATATTCTTAAGTCTGAGTTTGAATTAACGCACTTTGAGCTTTTCAAAATCAGGCAGTTTGTTTCTGGTTGGAGACCTTAGTCCGTTTTTCATTAAGTTTACCATCGTCACTCATCAACATTATCACCATTTATTATCTTCATATCTGACCATTTTAAATTCTCAATCATATCCTTTACACTGTACCATTTAGACTAGCAGAATTATCACCAATTGTCAATGTCATCATCACCATCCTCACCCGTCATCATCAAAATCACCAAAATCACCCTCATCATCATTCTTTATCATTACCATCCTTATCATCATCATCACCACCACCATCACCATCATCACCACTATCATCATCATCCACACCATCATCAACACCATCATCATCACCACCACCATCATCATCATCACCACCATCCTCATCATCCTCATCATCACCACCACCACCATCATCATCACCACCACCATCATCATTCTTTATCATTGCCATCCTTATCATCATCACCATCATCACCACTAGCATCATCATCCACACTATCAACACCATCATCATCACCACCACCATCATCATCATCATCACCACCACCATCATCACCTCTATCATCATCATCACCATCACCATCATCATCATCATTTATATCCTCATCTTTATCATCATTATTATTTTCACCATCATCATCACTATCATCATTATAACCATCACCACCATTCTCTTAGGCAAATGATGTAAATCTCTACTCCTTGTACTTTTACTTTCAGTTTCAAAACAAAGTATACTCTTGATAAGGAAATGTTCTCTTTTATTATATATTACGACTGCAAGAAAATATAATTGTGAATCTCACAATTAAAAATCTATTAATATATGTCTGGATTTCATAATAATATGGACTAAAAAGAGAATCTAGAAAACTATACACAAATGAATTCTTAAATGCCGCTTATCTTTATGAAGATGTGAAGTAAAAAACAAAAACATATATGAATGTGGTACATGTACGTCATTCAATAATTGTCTTTTACAACTGTCAAATGTACAATAGAGGTACACGTTTTTCCAACTCTACACCCTGCACATATTAACTTTGTAAATATGATATATGTATGACATAGTAATAGCAGTAATAGTGGAGTCTTCCATAGTTCTCGTGTCTGGCATATGTGCCACTCCAGTATAATAATCCCAGCTGAAGCATGCTCAAGCATTTTAAGAAATCAATAATTCATTTTTCAATTTTAATTAATCAGTTTTAGATGAAAACATATCGAAGGGTAGACTTGTGTATTGAAGCAGGTAGTTGTTATGCTTTCCGTTTACCACAGATGATAAAGCTGTATGAGTAAACTGTACATGTATTTTCATCATAACAATAGAAGTTCAGCCTCTTACTACCAATCATCATAATGTATAAGATTGTAACACACATCAATCATTGATCTATCTTACAGTGCCTCTCAATATAATGTGTGCATACATACACACACACACACTTGGTACATTATACATAGAGCTGCATGTGAACAATGATTACCAGGTATAATTTACATACTGCTTTGAATAAGTAGTTTCATTATATGATTTATAGGCTTCAAAGTGAAAGTGAAAGTAAATACTCAAGGTGTCAGACAAAATATACTACTGGTATGTCCCTTTTGCAGCCAACATCAAATTCTGTAGAACTTTGTAGGAATTATGAAAATGTCATGTTTGTCCTATCTGTGAAATTTAAAAATTAGCAGTGTCCTAATATTCAAATTATGCAAGAAATTAGTTTACCTTCTAGACGTCACTAACAGAAACTATTGAGTGACTGGCTGACTTTTTTTTCTTCTTTGGTAATAACATACATAAAATGAGTTGTAACAGTTACATGAGCATTCGTCTACTTCAATAACCCACTACTTGTAATGGCCAAAATTAAACTGATTGAATCTTTGTGCAGCACAAAACCTACGACCATTCGGTACAAGGGTCTGAAAATCAGACTATTACTTAGGTGATTGCAATCACTTAAGTCGATTTGACAACTAATGGTCCTTATTTTCCCACTAAAAGTCATTTTCAAGCCCTTTCGTTTTGAGGGAAGTTCTAAATTAGTATCGTCTTTCAAATGCTGTTGGAGTTTAACCTTTTCAATTTTTGGGGGGGCTTGCAAATGGGACATAGTGCCTTTAAAGGCTAAACCAATCTATGCTTTGGGTGACCAATTCTCACCCACTGATTTTGATGCAGTACTGTATTGGATTAAAAATCTCACCCAAGAATATGAATGCTGTACTATGTTTGGATGAAAAATGGCTTTTTGTTGTTATCCTCATTTGGATAGAACAGGTTCTTTGTGGAGGACACTTCAACAAATATATTTAAAGCAAATATCAAATCATAGATTAAATAATTGTTGCCATCATAGAGGCACATAATGGTTTTGTTCATACACTGTCATTGTTATGATGTGTTGTTAATAAATTCAAATTCAAACAATGGTTTTATGATACTACATTAATGTACAATGTGTTGCATACATACTAAGCATGTTCAGTATATAACCGATTCATTTAAATAAGTTCTCTTTGCAATAAGACAACAAATTAAAAAGCACATAGATTAAAAATTAGTCTTAAAAATCTACTTTTAATCATATTTTGTTGTTAGTGCAAAGTTTGTGGCATCATATGAATTAAGCAGTGAATACACTGGGAAACGCAAGGTGAGATGGATAGAAGTCACCACACACACTATGTAAATAAAACTAATATATCATAATATAGACATTATGGAATGTTCCTAAGGCAATTGTTCAATACTGCAGAATCAATCTGCAAAGCAAAGTTTTCTGGTTTCTTGTATATTCCTATAGCAGAGATTAATGGCTGGGAATGTAGTAATTTATACAACTTTTATATGCATCCATTTGGTAATATAATGACAAAAGAGCTGATTTCATCATACAGTATCTATCTACCCAGCACTTTGTATAAGTTTGTAGTCAGCACTTTATACAGCTGGATTATTGCTATTTGGTACATGGACTTTGGTAGAAAAAATAGCATACTTTCTCATAATGTATAGAGAAAATAGCATACTTTCTCATAATGTATCAAATATAACTTGTCAATACTATGTACATGTAAATATACCAGCTTTGACCAATATTAATAAAGATATTCAAATCAAGCAACTTGTGATTTGTTTAGTCTGTTGACTGCAGTTTAACAACATTGTGACATGGTGTACCAGAATTAAGCTTTTCACAAATTATGGTACATGATTATCAACGTGAATGAGAACATTCTAAAACAGCATATTTCTTTTCAATATCATAGAGAATGACTTCTACTTACAATAAAAGATTTTACTGAAAAATGAATAAAGGGTTTCCAGCCTTTTATGAAAACAAATATCCCTGCTTTTTCTGTGAAAAAGTTTCAAAACTCCCGTGAAATCCAACTTTGATAGTGAAATACTATAGGAAAGCTGAAAAACGTTATGAATATCTCGAAGTTGTAATCACTACAGGTTTGGGCTCTTCAAATTGGCTGGATCGGTAATGTCTCTGTAGTGTAGTGGCGGACAACTTTCCCCGTTTGTTCCACACATGTGACAAAAGGGAGTGTTCTCCACGACTACGTCACAATCTACCGATCAAACTGCCAATTTGAGATTCGCATATTAGACTCAGTGATCTCATATTTTTAACATTCATAACTTTCTTATTATTGGTCCTAGTTTTTCAAACTTTTGCTATTCTATTTGTTATTTTTCTGCTTTTATACAAATGAACTTATTACGTTATTGGTTAGTGTTTTTACAGCAATCAGTCAACTTTGACTATTACCATCAACAATTTTTTTAAATTTTTGTTTATCATATGGAATAATACAAATGATTTCTCTCTTGTTTTGTGGTAGTACTTTTTTTTTTTTTCTTTTCTTTTAAATAATAATTATATTTTTGTTTGAAAATAAAATAGTATCATGCCAGGTTACAAGGGTTGCATACACACTATGATCTCACCAGTTTGGACACCTGGGGAGTGTTTCACAAAGATCCTAAGTTGAACTTATCTCTAAGTTGGATTTAACAATTATGGTTAGCACCTATGAAATATTTTGTAAAATTTATTTTAAAAGGCATGAAATGGGATTCAAATCATTCATATTTTCTATTATCAAGGGGATTTCATGTTCTTGATGTGGAATTTATATAAAGTCTAAAATACTTGAATTTTCGCTTTTTAATATATTTTATAATGCTACAAATGGCTCTCCATAATGTTTAAGTCTAACTTTGAGTTAAGTTTGACTAATAGGATCTTTGTGACACCCCCCTGATTTCAACTGATGGACAGCTGGGAACCGTGTAAATAAGGATTACACTAAGTCAGCCTACATTTATATAGCACATTAAACATGAGATATATAATTATGTATACAAAATATTTTACAAAGCCATTTGGTCCTTTAGAAGAAAATAAATTGCACTATAATCTATAAGGTTTTGTTTACTCAGCACGTACCTCGCACACTACGTTCAGCCGCTACCATTTGTATTATTGCTTTACATTGTCAAGTGTTACAGTAATTGTCAGAGTAAGTTTTCATGAGTAAAAGACAATAAATATTTAATATTCAACAGAACATGTGGCAGTCAGATGAGCATCTGACTGTCTTATTCTGTCGTATCATCAGTGATGAGTTGAGTAGGTGTGTAGCACATACAGGAAACAAACAGATACAATCAAGAGATGAGCATCTGACTGTCTTATTCTGTCGTATCATCAGTGATGAGTTGAGTAGGTGTGTAGCACATACAGAAAACAAACAGATACAATCAAGAGATGAGCATCTGACAGTCTTATTCTGTTGTATCATCAGTGATGAGTTGAGTAGGTGTGTAGCACATACAGAAAACAAACAGATACAATCAAGAGATGAGCATCTGACAGTCTTATTCTGTCGTATCATCAGTGATGAGTTGAGTAGGTGTGTAGCACATACAGAAAACAAACAGATACAATCAAGAGATGAGCATCTGACAGTCTTATTCTGTCGTATCATCAGTGATGAGTTGAGTAGGTGTGTAGCACATACAGAAAACAAACAGATACAATCAAGAGATGAGCATCTGACTGTCTTATTCTGTCGTATCATCAGTGATGAGTTGAGTAGGTGTGTAGCACATACAGGAAACAAACAGATACAATCAAGAGATGAGCATCTGACTGTCTTATTCTGTCGTATCATCAGTGATGAGTTGAGTAGGTGTGTAGCACATACAGGAAACAAACAGATACAATCAAGAGATGAGCATCTGACTGTCTTATTCTGTCGTATCATCAGTGATGAGTTGAGTAGGTGTGTAGCACATACAGGAAACAAACAGATACAATCAAGAGATGAGCATCTGACTGTCTTATTCTATCATATCATCAGTGATGAGTAAAGTAGGTGTGTAGCGTGAAAAGGAGCGCACACAACAGGAGTCACAAGATAAGCATCTCAAGGTACATCTGTCCCGGATGGATGACCTGCTGTAGAGAACAAGAAGAATTGACCAGAAAATGAATGAATTAATGGAAACAACATTTGAATCGGGCTATTATAACTGTCTATTTTATTCCCCCAAAGCAAGACCAATGCATACAACATATATGTATGCTAAAGGGAAACATTAGTTTGTAAAGTTCAAATCATAAAGGATATGTGCTTCTCTTTATCTCACTCTTCCATGCATACATTGAAGCATCGTTTTCTTTTACCATTAAAAAACAATCCAAAGTTTTTACAAGCTTCAATAATACTGTGGATGAGAAATAATTCAAAGGCAGAGAAATATTAAAATCATTAGTTCTTTATTCTTCAGGTTAATATTACACATATTTGCTAGCAACCATATCACTCTTTTGACAAAACATGGTGAACCTAAATTGAGAGAAAATCTGTTTAAGCTACTTGTTTTAATATAATATTGCAGTACAAATATTGGTAATTTGGCCAATAAAAAGCAAAGAATACTCACTTGCTACTCAGGTCTTCTGATATCTTTTCTAGACTACAGTTCTTTGTCTCAGGTATTGCAAGGTAGATAAATACAGCCGATACTAAACACACACCACCGTAGATCAGAAAGGTACAAGACACACCAAACTTTCCTAGTTTATAAACAAAATACAAGAGTGGTAGAAACATGTTTGATTTGGGGTAACTACATGTACATGTAGCATAGACATAGGATACAATACGGGCTCTGCTCCCTCAAAGTTTGGGCAGCTGCCACAATCTCAAGCGAATGAGATCGGAAAGGAAATTACTTTAGGCTGTAGGGGTCAGGGGTGGCAATCATGGGGGGATTGGGGGTCCCCTCCTCAATTTTTTAGTGGGAATAGTCTCCCCCCCCCCCCCTTCCTCCCTCCCCAGAAAAATTGACAAAGTGCAAAAAAAAAAAAATGTATAGCAAATACTGCAACACACTTTTAGGCTATGGAGGGCTCAAGAGTACAGCGTTTAGACTAATAAAAATGCAAAAAGTCTTCTCGCTCGGTTGCTACACTACCTAGCATAATATCCTTCAAAATGTACAAGTAAATATTGTAGAAAATCTGTTTTCCATTGGTATCATGTAACCACAGTTTACACTTTGCTCCCTCGTCCCTCGCATTTCTTCCCCTCCGGTCATGAAAAGAAATCACAGCCCCTGGAATACCTGATATCTCTCTTTAATGTGGTTCCTATACATATTTGTCTCCAATAAAGAACTATAGTACATGCACATGAAGTGGTATATTTACATACATAAATCTGTTTGTACATTGCAGGGAAATATTGAGAACACTATCTATCTGTAAGTGAACTATAGATACATGTAGCTTGAATCATAATATTTGAAATTCCAGAGGCCTTCTCATGCCATTATCAAGTCTTGGGAAAATTAAGAATCATACTCAATACTGGTCAGTGTAATGAAAAAGAGGCTCTTTAACTTACTTATAACATCAAGGAATGTCAGAGAAATGATGGCGTTTGTTCCCCAGTTGAAGACTGTCGTCAAAGACGAAGCCCGCCCTCTAACACCAGCTGGAAAGATCTCACTAATCACGAGCCAGGTGACTATTAGTACAAAACAAAACATCATCCATAAAAATAAGACATCATAGCTGCAGGACTAAATGACCAATTTACTAATCCAGAAAAGAACAACATATTCAAAATTATTACAACATTCTGAACTTCACACTGTTTTAATACTGTTTGTCTGATATATTTATTGATTGGTTTCTATCTCTTTCACTCTTGTTCTTATCAGTGCAATTTTCTATAAAATAATTTGGCCTCCCTTTTATATTTAAGAAAAAAATAAAAGAATAACTTGAGCCTTGTATCACACAAAAATAATAATAGAAATAAGACATTCAAATAAGTTGTGCGATATACACAAATTATTGCATGTAATTTGCTAAGAATAAGGTTGATTTTGTCACATATTGTGCAAGTTATTGTTGTAAACAAGAAACATTCAATTGAAGTGAATTGAATTGATTGAGCTGTCTATCTGTAAACAGAATTTTTTAGAATTTCATTTCTATTGGTAGATATATAACAAAATCTAAAATTTACATGATATAACATAATTTGATATTGGAGTAATATGATATATGCCCACTGAAGCAAGGTGGCAAGTACAATTGATCTAAAAGGCCTAGATCTACTTTCTTGGGCCAAATCTAAAAGACCTAGATCTACTTACTTGGGCCAAATCCAAAAGAGTATGCACCAACATAGAGGAGAAGTAATACAAGAGCTGACCACTTTGTGGATCCTGCTATATGGACCTCACTGCTTCCTTCATCTTCATCCGTATTGCTTGTAGTATCCGTGCCAGAATCTGCTTCATCAAGTGTAACAATAGAAGGATCTTCCAGTGCTACGTTGAGGTAAGTTCTTGAATTGAGCTGAGATGATGAACCCTGGTGAGCACCTAGGAGGGAGCCCTCTTGAGTTGAACGATGAATATTACGTCTCTCTCTTACACCATCAGAAGGGATGACATCTGAATGGTGCTGCTGCCCTCTATTGCTGACACTGTGTAAATCAGTTCTTTTCAGATGGTGAGTTACTTCCTTTATGCTCTCAGCTGGATGTTGACTACCCACTGGTAGAAGTGTGTTCCTATGCTCCAGTGAATGAAAGGGCGTTGGAGTATTCTTTGTGATTTCAACTCGATCTCCTATGCTGTAACGATGAACTTGATGCGAGAAAGGAAACAATGTCCTTGGGTGAGCTTCAGAATGCACAGGACCAACCTCTTCTCCAGATATAGGTTCAGTGTTTCTTACATGCCTCATGTGCAGTGTGGAATTTAATGAAATATTTTCTGCTGAAAGTGAGGTTGCTTGGCATGTATCATTGATGACTGTTGTTGGTATCGTCTGAATAGAAGTTAAATATGATTAGAAAAAAAAATAAGTATACATTTTAATCAAATAGATATAGCTGTAATCATGAAGCAGTTTGCAGTTGAAATAATAAATTCTGTAGGTATTTACTAGTATTCAAGATTATCTTTTCAAACACAAACAAACCATACACTATCTTTTTAGTTCACATGTTAAGGGCCTCAAAAAGCAAACATTTGAGACAATTTCACAACTTTTGTCTTCATAATGTAGCGTGATCTTGTCTATCTGGGGTAGTCATCAAGCTATCAAGCTTTCTATACTTTGTCAACCCTCCTGTTTGATGTTTTTGATTAGTTACAGCCAGCCTTACTTTATTCGACATTATATTCTTTTGAAATGTGTAAAATCTGTAATGTTTTGTTTGTTACATATTTGTAAAAATGCAAAAGAAAAAGAAAATCAAACAGAAATAAATAAATCAAATCAAGTGTTTCTGAGCAGGACATCTCATGAATAACATGTGAATTCATCTGTGTTTCAATACTGTTGTATAAAAACATTATAATGCCCTTTGTATGCTGACCTGTGTTATGATGCCAAGTATGATAATGAAGAGAGCCATCAATCCAGAACCACAGAGAAGAAAACACCTTCTACCAAACTTATCTACCAACATCAGACAACAACAGGTTGTTATTACCTACATGGTACAGGATGCAAGCAGGAGAGAGAGAGAGAGAGAGAGAGAGGGAGAGGAGAAGAGAGAGAGAGAGAGAGAGAGGGAGAGGAGAAGAGAGAGAGAGAGAGAGAGAGAAGAGAGAAAGGGGAGGAGAGAAAGGGAGAGGGGCAAACTCAGGCAGATATGGACAAGGATATAAATAAAGGAGAGAGAGGGAAAGACAAAAGAACATAACGGTCAAAGTTGGGCAAGAAACATAGAGAGAGAAAAAAAGACTAATAATGGGGGTTCCATTAATGTATAGTGTTATTGTAATGAAGCAGGATACCCTGTCAAATAACCCACAATCTCTAACCTTTGATATTATTTTTAATATATCTAATAACCATTGATAATTGATAGTAGAAAGTTATCACTTTAGAGATGTCATTACTTTGGGCATCATCCATACAAATCTGTCTATCTCTACCACTATATGATCAACACATTAAAGGTCATCCTATTGATCTATTTCGATGGATGCACTACCCTTGACATTATGACATGAAAATATATTTGACACAACCTTTCAAAATCAATATCTACCTTGACTATTCCTACTCCAAGAGAAGCAACTGTTGCTGACATATTATCCTCAAAGCCTAGATTCTCCAAGACAGTTGGAGCATAGTAGACTACATTGGTCTGCCCAGTTATCTGAAAAACAGCAAAGGTAAACAAAGTTAATTATAACATATAACTCTGTATCCTAACATTCTGAATAAAGATGTTTACTACAAGAAGAACATTTAAGGACCATGTTCATTCAGTCATGTTCCTTTCCACTCTTTTGCTCCCACTGTTTCAATGTATTGCTTGTTATATGAAATCAATTAATGTTTGACTTTACATGAATGAAATTATCATACAAGTTCAAATAAGAGTAACAGCAAACAATCCAATCGTTCAGACCCATCTATCTCAATTCACTATGTCATTACATCCCAACTCTATTGAAACATTAACATTCAATCATTTCTTATTTAGTATATCAAAAATGCCCATTGAAATGAACTGCATATATAAACCCATGGAATGTTATTAGAAAAACAATTAAAACAGTAATTTACCTTTTGGAAAGTTATTTTTAGCCCTTTTTTGCTCAAAACAATAAAAGAAAGTAAGTGGAGAAAGTCCATGTGCACCCTATAAGCACCTTGTGTCCCAGAATACAGAACAATTTCTTCTGAGAATATTTCCAAGCATTTGACAATCATTTTGTAAATATGCAATGTAGTCTTGACATATAAATTTATATAAAACAGCTCATGATATACTTGTTGAAAGAAGACTAAAGCAGTTCCAATGCCCATTCTCCATCTCATGTTGTCCACTGATTGGAATAAATGAAGAATGGAATACGTCCTCTCTAATGATACAGATCTCTGGATTGCAGAGAGTTCTTCTGAAACGTGATCGGATCCACGGAGCTTCTTTAGGACCTTCTCTGCTTGTTGATTGTGTTTCTGTTGGACCAGGAATCGAGGGCTTGGTGGTAGCAGGAACATGCCCACGCCTTGGCACAGTGCTGGTACAGCAGACAAGGCAAACATATATCTCCTACATAGAAATACATGACAAACATATGTAAGAATAAATACATATATGTGATTGTGGCTTTCCTATCAAACACCAAATCCTATATATACCTATACCTTTACCAACTCAAACATGACAAAGAAATCTTAAAAGATTTATAAAGTCAATCTTTCACAACTAAGTTGTATTGTAACTCCATGGATCTATTTTAAAGGTAAAAGGCAAACAAAATTGCAAGTCAATATATTTTTTTTTTTCAGTTCAGTTCATTTATTTTCCACAATATACCAGGCATACACAAAAATATGTTTGCATCCCCTGTCAATAGACATAGTAGTTCACCTCAAATTGTTCTAATTTTGTTTTAAAGCGGGACAGCACTTCTTGTAGCTACTTGCTCCCTCTATATAGCAAACAATGCCTATTAGCAGTACCTGTTCGTCCCCCATGATCCCTTTTTACTTATGTTAATTGAGAGCTGATTTGATGGATAACCACCTGCCAGTGACCATGCAGGGAGGTCTAATCCCTCCTGGCCAAACTAGTGAGGACAGGCTTTATTGCTATGTAGGTAAAGCCTTATATTATAAAGCCCACAAATTATCAAACTGCTGAACTCTAAATAGTGAATTGAAGATTAATGTTTGAATGTTGCCTATAAATGTGGAAATCTATTTATTCTTGCCTCAAAATTCTTTTCTTTAAATCAATCATTCTGAAGTGCATTCCCATTAACTTGGATAAAATAACTTTTCAATTACATTTTCAATTTGTTTTATATTATACCAGCTCTGTGTTTGTGTTCCTCTCTCTCTCTCTCTCTCTCTCTCTCTCTCTCTTTGTTCTTCTCTCACTCTCTCTCTATCTCTCTCGCTCCCTCTCTCTCTCCCTCACACTCCCTTCTCTTCTCTCCTTCTCTCTCCACTCCCTCTCCCTCAACATTCCTTTTCTTCTTTCCTTATCTCCCGCTCCATATTTGCTTTATTTCTGTCTTCCCTTTATGAGTTTAATTGAGGTAGTCTTTGAATTATTGTTAAATAACGAACTGTAAATATGTTTGTTTTTTTTTAAATATTTTTAAAATAAAATCTCTGTAAATCATGCATGCAATTCAGCCATTGGCTGCGATATGTTGATGAATAAATACCATACTATTATATACATGTAACAGCTGCCATTGACTTCATATTGGTTTTGTAAGACAGATCAACCAAGGACTGAACAATCTTGCTGTCAATAATCATGAATTTCATCAGATCCAGTCTTTATTTAAACATATTTGTGGCTTACACCCAGTATAAGATCGATTGATCGATCTGTAATTGAAAAATAAGTCAGAAAAAATCTTGGAACCAGCAGGACCTGCCACAAATGTATTTAAATAATTGAAATTTCTCCCAGGAAGCATAACATTTATAAAAGATCCAGTCTTGTTATCACAGGTCATATAGACTGTCTGAATAGGTACTTCTCATCAAAATTACAGCATCATGAACTAATAGAAACCCTCATCACATATTTATATTGAGTAAGGGAGTAAGATTGAAAGTTATTTCTTACTCCCAAGACAAAGAAAGCTTTACATGACTTACCATCCTGATATGACTTTGATGAAGCAGAAGTTGACCACGTATGCCAAGAGAAGACCCAAGGTGATACCTAACTCATTGATAGATACTAACTGACCTCTTCTCTCCTGAAACAAACAACACATTATAATCATTCTAATCTTTCATTTCAATTCAATCTTGAAGACACAATTAAGTGATACATACAATAATAACAACAAGGCTACAATATCTATGTATGAAAATAAATCACATAAAAACTGCCATTTTTAATTAAATACATATCCTTACAGATATTTGATGAACTAGCTATCACACCAAGATATATGCTTAATTTGATATTTCAAATGTACAGGCACCGTATGTAAAATTTTATTTGTTGTATTGTTATACTTATGTTTTTATACTGTCATTGTATTATGCAGGGGGTTCTTGAAAAGCAGATCCTCTGGCTTCCAGTGGAACTGAATGGAACTGCCCTCTTGAAAGAATTCATGAACAAATAAAATAAATAAATAATAAGATAACTATACAACAAAACTGTCAGACTTTGCTAATATTGAGTGACAAAGCTATGCTTACATATTCAATTGAACGAGGGGCCGCTGGTAAATAATATACAACAGTTGAAGCACTGAATCGTTTCCATCTCCCAATAAAGAAGCTATCTACATGTATGTATGTATGCTTAAATTACTGTTGATCTGTCTACCACATAATGAATGGTGGTGGTGGTTATTTTACCCGACTGCTAAGAAAGCATAAATGCTTGTAAGAAAGCATTAATGCTTGTAAGTACGCAACCAGACGGCCAACAGCTTTAGGTCCTCTCTGAGGGACCTGGTAATGAGGATTAATACTTTACCAAAGGGCACTGGCTCATCGCCTTGGTATCGAACCCGGATCACCGGATTACGAGACCACTGCTCTACCGACTGAGCTATCGCGCCTCCCCATGTTCAAACATACCTTTGGAGATATTTCTGATATGTAGATACACTCTCCTATTGCAGATAGTGATACAGCAAAGCCAACTATCAGGCGACCAATAATCTGCATAAACAAACAAACAAACAAAATACATCATCATACAGGCTACACCTTCAACAATCTGAGTAAACAAAGAAACAAAATACATCATCATACAGGCTACACCTTCAACAATCTGAGTAAACAAACAAACAAAATACATCATCATACAGACTACACCTTCAACAATCTGAGTAAACAAACAAACAAAATACATCATCATACAGGCTACACCTTCAACAATCTGAGTAAACAAAGAAACAAAATACATCATCATACAGACTACACCTTCAACAATCTGAGTAAACAAACAAACAAAATACATCATCATACAGACTACACCTTCAACAATCTGAACAAACAAAGAAACAAAATACATCATCATACAGGCTACACCTTCAACAATCTGAGTAAACAAACAAACAAAATACATCATCATACAGACTACATCTTGTAATTTTTTTCTGACGCCAATAATTTTGTGTGTCTGACATTCACTCTACTGTAATATAGAGTGTAATGCATACAACTCGCAGTGGGGAGTATTTGCCAGTAATTGTGCAATAGGTATTTAATTTCTAATTATTTCATATTTAATTGTGAATTAAAATTTAATTAATAGCATTGAATTTTAAAGAACAAGCAATACTTGAAGATGAATGAATTCACACTGATCACCTATTATTTAGCCAGTGCGATATGTTTATTTTAATTTTTTTTATTATCAACAAATTTCAATATTCTTCACAAATTTGCAATGTAATTCACTGTATTTCTTAATCCATTATGAAATTCAATTCCAATATTTCCAATATGTTTTACCACAAAATATGACACAAAATCAACCCTTCGGCATGCCAAATTCGTAATAGTAATGGTTTTGATGATTAATTTCAATAGTATATTTTTAGAATGTTTCATTTAAGATTTTCATTGCTTACTAATTGAAAATAATGATAGTTGCCATAATAATTGTCATTTGATCACTTTTATTTGAATTTCAATGTTGATTGCCTAGACTGTTTTAATATATTATTGTATAGTTGCTTTTATCATGTATATACGTTGTAAACTGTTGTAACCATTGCAATTCAGTCTTTGGACTGCGAGAATGGATAATTATCAATAAAATCCTTCAATCAATAATCAATCAACATCTTCAACGATTGACAAATTTCATATTCAACCAACAAAATCATTTTCCTTGTTATCAACATTTTCAAGTGATACCTAGTACCACATCATATACAAAGGTTTATAAGCTTTCATCTACAGTTAACTACTAAATAATTCATACCCTTACCAAGTTTTTTAATTGTTGAAGTACTGTATGTATGGTTCTTCATAAAAAACATATACATTACTTACCGGTACAGAGTATTAAAAAAAAAATTGAAATACATAAATACATGTAGAAGGGTAATATTACAGATAATATGAATTCAATAAAATTAACAAGGAAATTAGTTAAGAAAGCAAATTTATGTCAAATGAGGGGTCAACAAAAAGGTATATAGAAAAGTATTCAACAAAGGCCTTTATTCAACCAGTTCACCTTTCATTCTTAAGTTACCAAAACACAAAGAACCTCAAATTTACAAGGGGTATGAATAATTCAGTTATCATCTTGTCAAGAAATCGAGTATACAAATACAAATTCAGATCTGAGCTTACCAAAACTGGGTATGATACAGAAGCTGAAAGAACAATAGCTCCCATAATGAAAACCAATGAGTTCAGAATGATGGCCCATCTCCTCCCTATCTTGTCAATCACAAATCCTGCAATAAAACAAAGATACATGATGTACAAAAAGTGGGCTTAAAAATCACCTGATGCTCAATGTATATTGTTAAATTTCAATGTTCTTTTTATACAATGCATGAAAAATGAATAATCACGCTGTGCCACATTGTATGTTCCATGGCACCATGAAGTTGTGTGATCTAATGTAAGTTAACATTTAATATTTCTTTAATCTTAAGTATGTTCAATATCAATTTAAATTATTTGTATGCACCTTGAGCATCTCTAGAGATGGATATGATGCGCTTTATAAATATTGTTCTTATTATTATTACATCAAGGCATTTCATGTTATTTCAAAGAATGAGGTCTCTAGTGACACAGTGGGAGCACAATACACATCTGCCTTCATACTTTAGAATTATCATCTATGCTGTTTTGAATTATGTTATCATGCTTAGGGTCTCAAGAGGTCTATTGTCTGTTTAGAGCCACAAGGGTTGTTAACTCTGTGTTAAAGTATAGCCCTTCTGGCTCCAGACATACAATATCATATAACCATTAAAGGCATCAGTGATGGTACATTAATATTCTATACAAAAGGGTAGGATTGAACTACATGTTATAAATATGACATATTCCTGGTTTCTTATGATCTTTCTTGCAAATGCCATTGTAAATTCTAAATTACTTCATTCAAAGAATTATAACCAACAACTTGATCTACAAAGAACAGTCTGTCTATGAGTATTGCATTGTAATAGATGATTTTGAAGTAAGCGCATATTACTACTACTTGCTTCCTTAAAAGTGAAGTGAACAAATGACCTCTAACTGACTAACTTACCTTCTAGTAGTGATCACTAACTGACTAACTCACCTCCCAGTATTGATCACTGACTAACTCACCTCCTAGTATTGACCCTATAGTTGCTCCTATAAGCAGTGAACTGACTACGAACTCTTGCTCAAAACAAGACAGCGACTATATGACTATTAACTCACCTCCTAATATTGACCCTATAGTTGCTTCTATAAGCAGTGAACTGACTACGAACTCTTGCTCAAAACAAGACAGCGACTATATGACTATTAACTCACCTCCTAATATTGACCCTATAGTTGCTCCTATAAGCAGTGAACTGATTACGAACTCTTGCTCAAAACAAGACAGCGACTATATGACTATTAACTCACCTCCTAATATTGACCCTATAGTTGCTCCTATAAGCAGTGAACTGACTACGAACTCTTGCTCAAAACAAGACAGCGACTATATGACTATTAACTCACCTCCTAATATTGACCCTATAGTTGCTCCTATAAGCAGTGAACTGACTACAAACTCTTGCTCAAAACAAGACAGCGACTATATGACTATTAACTCACCTCCTAATATTGACCCTATAGTTGCTCCTATAAGCAGTGAACTGACTACGAACTCTGGCTCAAAACAAGACAGCGACTATATGACTATTAACTCACCTCCTAATATTGACCCTATAGTTGCTCCTATAAGCAGTGAACTGACTACGAACTCTTGCTCAAAACAAGACAGCGACTATATGACTATTAACTCACCTCCTAATATTGACCCTATAGTAGTAGCTGTCTGTCGCGAAGCGACAATGACCGCCTTCATTTTCACTTTACAGCTGTTCTCCATACAGCTCGCTGGCCTGCAGCAGTTGTCCAAGTCTTGGTTTCAATTTGCCTCCGCTTAAGGTTCCTCTTGATCGTGTCCTTGTAGCGAAGCCGTGGACGACCAATCCCTCTTTCGCCAGCGGGTAGTTGCGAGAATAGTACTTGCTTTGGTAACCTCTCAGAGGGCATCCTGATGACATGGCCTGTCCATCGTAGGTTCTTCCTGATGAGCAGGTCCTCCATAGAAGGAAGGTTTGCTCGCTCTAGTACCTCTTTGTTGGTCACCTTGTCCTTCCAACTGATTCTGATGATTGCTCGAAGGTGTCTCATCATGAACGCGTGAAGTTTCTTTACTTGACTTGTGTAGAGAGTCCAGCTTTCCGCACCGTATAAGAGAGTGGATAGGACGATAGCCCTGTAGATTTTGCACTTCACTCTTGTTGAGACATGATGGTTGTTCCATAGCCTGGTTCGCAGTCTTCCAAAGGCACTGCTGGCCTTTGACATTCTTTTCACAGCTCAGAGTCGATGCGTCCGTCTTTGGATATAGTGCTGCCGAGGTAAGTGAAGTCATCTACCTGGTTTAGGGCTGTCCCATCCACTAGGATCTCCTCCTCCTCTCGGTGGTCTGTACCTGGTTGGAATAGTACTTCAGTCTTTTTGATGTTTATTTGTAGACCGAACTTCTTTGATGCTGATGAAAATGTTGCATCTGCTCTGGTGTATGAGAAACAAGAGCACTGTCATCTGCAAAGAGGAGTTCCCTCACGAGAATCTGTGTAGACTTCGTCTTAGCTTTGAAGTGTGCGACATTGAATAGGTCGGCGTCTTGACGCGATTGTATGTAAACGCCTTCCTCAAAATCCGCAAAGGCCTCCTCCAGCATCGCCGAGAGAAAGATGGAGAACAGCGTAGGGGCCAACACACATCCTTGTTTTACACCGTTACTTACAGGGAAGCTATGGGATGTTTCGCCTGCTTCCTTGACTTTAGCCATCATACCCGTATGTAAGGACTCTACCATTCCGGTGAACTTCTCGGGACATCCATACTTTCGTAGTAGTTCCCAAAGACCTGTCCTACCAACAGTGTCAAAGGCTTTCGTGAAATCGACAAAAACCACATAGAGGGATCGGTTGTGCTCAATGCACTTCTCCTGTAGTTGTCTGAGGCAGAAGATCATATCTACTGTGCTGCGGTTGTTCCTAAATCCGCATTGCGTCTCCGGCAATATATCTGGTGCTATGTGGGTATTCAATCTGTTCAGAAGGATCCTGGCAAAAACTTTCCCTGCTATTGACAATAGCGATATTCCTCTGTAGTTTCCACATTGAGTTCTATCTCCTTTTTTGAAGATGGCGACAATATTAGCATCCTTCCATTCCTGAGGTACGGAGCCTTCTGCCCATGCTTGTTGTATCAGCATTAGTAAACTGTTGGTTAGTGTGGCTCCTCCGTGCTTCCATATCTCGCTTGGTATCCCATCCACTCCGGGTGCCTTGCCATCACCCAAGGAGGCAATTGCCAGGTTTAGCTCTTTTCGTGTTGGAATATCATCGAGTGCAGTAACTACAGGTCGCTGGTTGATCCTATCACGCGCTGCAGGCTCGATATCTCCTGGCTGGTTGAGTAGTGTCTCAAAATGCTGCGACCATCGTTCAAGCACCCTTTTGTTGTCTGAAAAGGTTGTGTTACCGTCCAGGGACTTGAGATGAACTGTACTCCTAGTCTGGGGGCCCCAGACTTCTTTCAGTCCAGTGTAGAAGGACTTCATGTCATTATTGTCTGCGGAGCGCTGCAGGTCTTCTGCCTTTTTCTCCCACCAGGTGGTTTTCATTTTCCGTGTGTACCTCTGCAAGTGTCTGCAGGCTTCCTTGTACGCGGTGGTGGTTGACCTGGTGCTTCTAGTCTGTAATACACGTTGGTGTGTTTCATTCCTTTTCTTCATGAGTATCAGAAGCTCGGAGTCTTCTGGGTCAAACCAGTCCTGGTGTTTTCGCTCTGGTTTACCGAGGGTGTTGCTCGCTGTGTCATATACTACTTTGCTGAGTGATGCCCAGGTCTGATCAACTGTCATTCCCTCTTGCACTCCCCAAGTCGCCAGAGCTTTCTCCATATCTTGCTCTAGCTTTAGCCGTTGTGTGTTGACGTGTAGCCGGTCTGTGTTCAGCTTTGCAAGTTTAGTAGCTCCTTGCTTCCTACGCTTTGAACGTAAAGCAAATGCAATCTTTGATCTTAGTAGCTGGTGATCGGTCAAGCAGTTAGCTCCACGCATAGTTCTTGTGCTGTGAACATCCATTCTGTCTCGTTGTCTTGTTATGATGTAATCAATCAGGTGCCAATGCTTAGAGCGAGGGTGCATCCAGGTGGTTTTGTGTTCTTCCCTCTGCTTGAACACGGTGTTTGTCAGTAGGAGTTCGAACTCAGAGCACAGCGCTAGAAGTAGCTCACCATTGGTGTTGCATTTACCGATTCCGTGCCTGCCTAACACCGACTGCCATTTCTCATAGTCTCGTCCTACCCGGGCATTGAAGTCTCCCATCAATATCAGCTGATTGTAGAAGTTCTCCTTTGTTTCATCCGGACTCGTCATGGTTGGTGCGTATACACTGATGAGAGTAGCATTTCCCTTCTTCATCAGTGGTACTGTCATTGTCATAATTCTATCATTCACCGCTTTAGGCATTTCTGTGAGCTTCGCTAAGATCTCTTTTCTGATGGCGAATCCCACTCCAGCCTCTCGTCGTACCCCATCCGGCTTGCCGCTCCAGAAGAATGTGTAGCCCATGTCATCGAGCCTACCTGACTCGGAGAAACGTGTTTCACTCAGAGCAGCAATGTCAATTTTGTACTTCTCCAGCTCCATGGCTACAAGGGCAGTCCTTCTCTCTGGCCTTCCAGTTCCTTCCCGATCGAGGAGTGTCCTGACATTCCACTGTCCAAACGTCATTGTAGTAATTCCGCTGGTGTCATCTTTTTGTTGTTGTTGTTTTTGTTTGCTTCCTAGCATACTTGGCACTGTCGACGGAAGTCCTGATCTAACAGCGCGGTCCTTGTTAACCCGGAAGACGACCGAACCGGTATGAAGTTTCATACTGTTGCGCATAGTGAAGGCTGCTTGCAAAGGTGGATAAGTACCGGTAGCTCTTGCAAGTTACTACCGGCACTCTCTCGGGGAACTGGTGGCAGTTTCACACCGGCGAGGACAAACCAGGACGGGTGTGAACCACTAGACCCTGCAGTGACTGGTCGAAGGATGTCGGGAGTTCCGTATCGTCAATCGCCCTCAATGCTGTCACGGTAGCATGGTTTTCTGTTAGGGTTTGCTCCCTTAGCCTTAGTTAGATTCTAAAGAGAACCTGAACCACAGGGCAGTGGTTACAACTAAGCATGGCAAAACCAATTAACAATTATTAAAAGAATGAGGCGATTACAATTACTCTTATGATAAGAGTACTAATTGAACCAACAAAATATTACCTTACTTTATTGATTATATCTCTATTCAGTGCTGTGATAAAAACACTGATTATAGTAGAGAAACAAAGATTTTTTTTCTCGAAATAAGTGCAAGAATATTAAGGAGATTAAGGGCAGATCGAATTACCTTAGGATATCAAACTAATTTAAATAATAAATTGAGTAACTGATTATAATATATTATGAATCAATTGATTTGATCTGCAGTAACCTTTAAGTAAGCTATATGGTAATGCAGCAGAATTAATGATAGTCTATCGTATATATATATATTGAGGAGGTATCAGCAATTAAGGTAGACTAAACTATAAAAAATATTTAAAAAAAAAAATTAAAAAAAAAAAAGATAAAGACGTATGACATGAAAAGAATATAATCGAAATGTCCGACTAAGTTCCGTGGCACAAACTCGGCATTATTGGACAAACCTACCATTGGAGAAACCTAACAATTACAGAGCTTGGTCTTGTTGCTCTGTTCGCCAGCAGTTTAAGGATAAGCAGTTTGACCCTATAGTTGCTTCTATAAGCAGTGAACTGACTACGAACTCTTGCTCAAAACAAGACAGCGACTATATGACTATTAACTCACCTCCTAATATTGACCCTATAGTTGCTCCTATAAGCAGTGAACTGACTACAAACTCTTGCTCAAAACAAGACAGCGACTATATGACTATTAACTCACCTCCTAATATTGACCCTATGGTTGCTCCTATAAGCAGTGAACTGACTACAAACTCTTGCTCAAAACAAGACAGTGAAAATTCTTCCTTCAGCTGTAGAAGAGCACCAGACATAATACCTACAAATTTACAAACCAAGATAAGAGAGGGTTAATTCACTGATCCTTTATAATACAAGAAAAAATTGTGTTTGACTAAATCAACTACCGGTATTAAACCTTCTAAAACATTATTAGGATTTTTTCTTCTTTCAAATTAAGTATGATCCCATTCTTAGTCTTAATCATCAATATCCATCATCATCACAAAATAATCATCAGCTAAAAGCCAATACATCATCATCAAGAACATCATGATTATATCATAATTGCATTGCTTGTATTAACACCACCACCACCATCATTATAATCATCAACAACTTATTAATGTCTTGAATTCATCTTTATGAAAGCCATATCATTCCATAACAGTCAACATTAACCTTGACTAATGAAAGTTTGAAACAAACTATTTACCAATATCATAGCCGAATAGAACACCTCCGAGAGCTGCCATCGCTGCTGCAACTACCAAATATACAGTAGGCTTTCCTTTAGGATGGGGTGGGTTTATATTGACTATTGAAACGTCATGATCTACATCAATAACCTGTTCCTCACGTGTTAACATCGATGTATTAAGGATATCCTGCTGTACCTAAACAGGAATTAAATAACAGACAATATTTAATTTAGATCATATTAAAGTAGGCTGGTTAATGATGGATGTAGAAAAAAAGCATCATAGTGCAGCTAGTTGAGATACATTTATCATCAATCCATGTAGTTGCTCCAATTAATGAAAACAATGGTCTATTTCATCCTGTGAAATTATAATTTTAGAGCTCTTCAATATGCTGCTACCATGTAGTGGAAACCTACATTATAATCATTTCTAAAAATCATTAAAAGAAGTGGGTAATTTATTCACTGTAGATTTGCTTTTTATGAGATAATAAAATTACTTTATCAATGGACAAGGGTTACTGTTAATGTACAAAGCTGCACCTTTAAAAGATTGATGTTCAAATAAATCTAAATGGTTTTATATCATCAAGATCAATGTGATCTAATGTATTAACATACAAATAACCTCTCACCAATATATCTCTAAAACACCATTCATCCAAAAACCACTGCCAAACTCACCTAAATCCTCTCTCCTAAATCTCCAACACAGAAGTAGCAGAGCCCTAAATCAATACGACTGACTCAGACCATGTCCAGTGCCGGTCTGTCTGTCTTTTATGGTACACTGCTACATGTATGTAGCATCATACGAACTGAACATTTTTTGGCAAAGTATATTCAAATGAAATACATCGTACACCAAAAGCAAAATAGGATTTAAGAGTAAGACTTGAATATTCAAAAGAAAGGAGAAGAGAACCAATGATTAGGGAGAAGTGGAAATACTAATGCATTCACACAAGACCATGAATAAAGAATGAGAAGAGAACAAGGAACGTCACACCAGGTGAGATGGAAGACTTGGTACGTAGAGGAGATGAATGGAGAAAGAAATTGGGATGAGTAACTGAAGTAAATGAATTACATGTAAGTGACTAAGCAAATTATAGCTCAAGAAGAGACTAGAGAAACAAAGAGTAATTCTGTAACAAATACAAGTATGGCATGATTTTAATTTGAAGTCTTGAATGTTAATTTTAAATTAGTTTGTATTAGAAGTTCACTTTTGCAAGTAGCCTATATACCCTCACACAGTCACGTACAGTCACTCATAAGTGATAATGTACCAATTCACTAAATATAAATATACACATTACACAGTTACAGATGGTAGAGGGAATTTAGTTTTTCAGAAACACTCATTCGTTTGTATATTTACCATATTGGACAGTTGATCTGATCTGCGAACATCAGGATGCTCATCCATGATTTCTTCTTCTTGGTCATTTTCACCTCCAGCTGGCCTTAAAAGCTTCACTAAAGAAAATAAATGTACAACTTTGATTCATTTATTTAATTACCTCACTTAAACCGAATGTAGGTATATACTGCTAATTGCAGAGTTACAATTTATTGAAGGAGATACACTTTTTGATTTGAAGGAGATACAGGGGGGGGGGGGTGGTACATAGGGGGTATTGTGTGTCCGGACCCTTGTGGATAGAACACAAAAATGTGCATCAAAATTCAAACAGACTACCCAGGACTGTCAACTTTGGAGAACTGCTTCGAGGGAGATCGTATGCAATTTTTTGGGGCTCAACAGGGAAGGGGAGGGGGGATGTTGAGTAAGAAAAAAAAATTAAAAAAAATTGATGTGCTCACTAACCTCCCCCTCCCCCCTCCCCCTCCCCCCTCCCCCTCCCGAGCGAAGCATGAAAGCTTTGACGTTTCATCAAATTATTAGAGAAAGATGACGATTTGTGTACCGTTCTCGACTCTAAATCCTTGTCTAGATTTAGTTCCCACTTCCCGCGCGAAAGCTTGAACATTTAATTAAATGTATCATTAGGGAAAGAGGACGATTCGTTGGACCGTTCTCGACTTTTAATCCTTGTCTGAATTCAGTCCCCCCCCCCCCCCCCCCGCTCCCGCGCGAAAGCTTTGATCATTTGAGAAAGAAGATGATTCGTTGGATCGTTCTTGACTCTTAATCCTTGTCTGGATTCAGTTCCCTCCCCCCCCCCCCCTCCCGTGCAAAGCGTGGAAGCTTTGACCTTTCATTCAATTATTAGAGAAAGAAGACAATTCGTTGTACCGTTCTCGACTCTTGTCTTTGTCTGCTCCTTTTTCTTCCTACGTCCTCTCCCTTTTTTCTCTTCTCTCTCTCTCTCTCTTTTTATTTGGCAGGCGTTTTTTTGGGGGGGCGACCGCCCCCATTGCCCCCCCCCCCCTGGCTACGCACCTGACCTTGGAGGAAGGGTGTGTTGGCGGGAGTCTCCCACTACGAGCTGGTGGGACGGGGGGAGAATGAGCGTGGTGCCGTGAGACTCCCTCCAAATGCATGGAGGGTTGACAGCCCTATAGCGCTGCATGCTTACCTCATATGCCATGGTTTCATGCCTGATCCATGACAACGGCCAGCATGCCACTCAACTAACTGTATAACTAAGGTCAGGAGGCGAGTTGGCTCAGACTCAGTCGGTAAAGTGTCTGCCTGTCGAACCAAAGATCCCGGGTTCGACTCCCATGCACCCAGGCGGATGACTGAAGCCTGCATGTGTTGTGTTAACGTGCCCCTTCCCTTGTTCATAGATGCAGGTTATGTCAAGTGGAAAACACTTCGTCCCTCGGATAGGACATGAAATGGAGGCCCCGTGTACAGGAGAGTCACAACCCTTGCATGTTAAGAACCCATTGCACTATTCGTATTACTATTAGGGTAGGGGGGGAACCCCGGTGTAATATGGTCCACCTGCACACCCAGGCCGAGTATACGGCATCTGCAAGAGTCTTCAGCATTGAAGGAGGCAGATTATCTTGAAGAAGAAGAACTAATAAAATGACCCTTCGATCACCACACATATATACTGTCACAACAAACAAAAGAGGTCTAGATCTAGATCTATATCCCTCAGAATCAGATCGGCATCATGCATGCACTCACCTGTATCTTCTAAATCCTCTTCGGAACCTTGTTCTTGCAACCTATGATACTCCATCTCGACTTCACATGTAGTGGAGTATTAAACTCATAGATTTTAAATCAAATCCAGTCCCATTTCCTACAGACTTTGCTGAGACTTAATTCAGCTGTAGACCTATATCATGCATCATCATAGTGCCCGCCCGTTGCCGCTCGATCTCGATCAGCTGCATCGCATATCGACATCCGGCGATTATGTAATGGCATGATGATGTAAACATGGCCGCTCCCACCACGCTGAAAACACCACAATTCGATGTCGCCTACTCCAAGAATTTCGGTTATGTGTATACAAAACAGGCAGCAGAAACGATAAAGGAACACCATGAATTGGATAAAACACTGCGCTTTGTTTCCCTGAAAACGTCCATACAGTTTGGAACAACCCGTAAGTAATAGAGCTGTATGCCCGTAAAATGAATGCGTATTCTTGCCATTGTCGCCGCCAGGGGTTTAGGCGGCCGGCGGGGTGCCCTCTGCAGAGACTCCCGTACCCGTTAGCGTTCCGACGCGTATAGACCTACTTAGTGGATGATGGTTGTGATGATGTTGATAATAATATAGATGATGATGTTGATAATAATATAGCTGGTGATGTTGATAATAATATAGTAATAGATGATGATGATGATGATGATGATGATGATGATGATGATGATGATGATGATGATGATGATGATGGTGGTGGTAATGATGATGATGATGGTGATGATGATCGATGATGGTGATGTCTGATTGTGATGATGGTGATGATAATGATGATGCTGATGATGATGATGATGGTGATGTTGATGATGATGGTGATGTTGGTGATGATGATGGTGATGATGATGATGATGATGAAGATTGTTGATGATGATGATGATGATGATGTTGATGATGATGATGATGATGATGGTGATGATGGTGATGATGATGATAATGATGAAGATTGTTGATGATGATGATGTTGATGATGGTGATGATGATGATGATGATGGTGATGATGATGATGTTGATGATGATGATGATGATGATGGTGATGTTGATGATGATGATGGTGATGATGATGATAATGATGAAGATTGTTGATGATGATGATGATGATGGTGATGATGATGATGATGATGATGGTGATGTTGATGATGATGGTGATGTTGGTGATGATGATGGTGATGATGATGATAATGATGAAGATTGTTGATGATGATGATGATGGTAATGATGATGATGATGATGATGATGATGGTGATGTTGATGATGATGGTGATGTTGGTGATGATGATGGTGATGATGATGATGATGATGAAGATTGTTGATGATGATGATGGTGATGATGATTACAATTTTTGATGATGATGGTGATGGATGCATGTGACCAGGAATCAAGATGGTGATCGATGATCAGGATAGTGATGATGGTGATGGTGATCGTGATTATGGTAAAGATGGTGCTGATACTTGATAATGATGATAATGATGAAGGAAATTTTCAAGCTACAATGCACTTCAAAATACAATGGATTTTTGGGTCTCTGTGTTTTGTCCATGGACAAGCCTGATTCATCTGAAGATTATTGGTTCTCTTTACAGCTATCGATAGATGCAAGCATAGAATCTTATGGGAGGAAGCACAACCTAGCCACGGTGGAAAAATTAAGTATGATGGCATACCATTCATACACCTCAATAAGAACATGTATGAGTGTGAATATGCCAAAGATCACAAGTTGAAATCCAAGGTGAAAGCTAAGGAAGCAAGAGCTGAAAAGAGGGTAAGTATATCCAACTTTATTGTAGCATTTAAGATACTGGTACTAATTTTAAGATTTTTCTTTTTGAGTTGTTTCAAAATGGATAAATGTTTTACATGTAATTATGCCAATAAGTAGAAAGTTGTGATGTGTATCTTTTGTGTAAAATGATAATTTGTCCAAACACCTAACATCTGTAAAGCTATACAATAATATGCTTTATTAAAAAATACAAATGCATGTGTTTTCACCGATTCCCTTCCTCTTTGTTGTCTTAACTCAGTTTTGGAAACGCCCCCCCCCCCCCCTCAAAAAATGAAATGGAAGCTCTCATTACCAATCATGTGAAAGAATACAAATTTTGCCTCGAAACCACCTACTAATTCATATATTTGGTACATTATTATATCTATTTAGACCGGATAGATATCGTGCATGTGTCGCGTAGTCCCATATACCTCCTTCTGTGTACAGCTAGCTCTTATAACTTTACCAAGACTGGGCCAAATTTCTTATCATTGATGATTCCAGAACCTTGCAGTACACACCAATACTTATATGCTAGATGATCAACCTTTTCTGATCGATTCCACAACGTTTCTTTCACAATGCAATCGCATGACCAGAACTGGTCTTTATCTTTAATGTGATATTGCACAGTTAAGAGTTTGAAATAACTTGCTTTCCTTCTGATATTAAAATCACCCCCTTTGGGTTTATTTGATAAAATGTAATACTTCACTCAGTGTATAATTGTTTTGTGCCAAAAGTTAAAAAGATCACTCTATTTTCTTTAAAAGGTAGATTGTGGCCATCAGTATACTCTTGTGATGTCTTGTTATTCATTTGTTTAATTTTTAGATGAGAGAACCAGCAATTGGAAATGCACACAAGCCCAGGAACCTAATACAAGATACTAAAAAGAAAGATTGCCAGGCAAAGCTAGTCATGAAGGAAATCATGAAATTTCCAAACTTTAAGGCAAGTAATCTTGTAAGGGCTTCAAGATGAAGATTCATAGTGGCTTCAAGATGAGTATTCATCTAAATTTTAAAAGTTCATGATAAGAAAGCCACTTTTAAGAATAAATAATAATGATGTGTTATAATACATAAGATCACTAAACAGGATAATATTAATAATAATAGTTCGTTCTTTTATAGCGCATTTCAGGACTGAAGGCCCTCTCAAAGCGCTTTACAATGTACAATGTATGTTTACGTAATAATTACTCGAAGCATTCATCAAAGAGGTGAGTTTTCAGCGCTCTTTTAAAAAGTTCAACGTCAGTCATGGAGCATAGCGACACTGGGAGGATAGCACACCCTGGTCAATTTATCTGAAATTCTGTTTAAGATATTTAAGAACAGGGATAATATCTTAAACTTCAAGTTCTGACTTTAATGTAACCCCAATCAAAAGTTATTTATAAATGTAGAAGGCTCTTTTTAATTTGAGTTTAGTGTAAAAATTGTCAGTAATAATCAAGTTATGAATTAGTCCTTATTGTAGGTACATTGTACAAGTTGTGTACAATTAATGCAACCTTTCAAACAATCTATCCTTTCCCATTAATGTTAATCACTAATTGTTGTCCATTATCTCCTACAGATTTCAAAGAATTCTAACTGTGAGAGACGCCGGGGAGCAAAGAGGATAAACGATGCTATCAAAGCCAGTCATACTAACCTGGGTGAAAGGAGGATCTATATTTACCTACCAGAGGAAAGTGAACATGAGGGACATCCTGTTGGCAAGGTTATATTCTATAACAAAATATAAAGAGTGATGTTCCAATTTTATATTAAAGGGAGTGTAGCTTGACGAGACTATGTGTCTTTCCCATAGCCTGACTCGGGGCCAATCAGGTATAATAAGACTGCGGATGATGAGACCGCAGCAATCACCTGCGTGCAACATACGCGAAACAGAGGCGGGAGGAAAACTTTGGTCTGTTTCGTGAACGCTGATCATGTAGAGATTAGTTGGCGTTAACCAGTATTTGCCAAGCTACACTCCCTTTAAATCAAATGTAGATAAGAATTTATTTGCGATTAAAGAAAAACCTAGTTGGTAAGTTTATATAATTCCTTGTTATAGGGTGATAAGTGATTTTTTTTAATTAAACATATTGAAAACAATGTTTATTGTCATAACAAACTGAAATTGCGCTGAACCAACACTAACTGTACGTGAACACAGTTACCTTAGTATAGACTTTTATTATGACTTGTCCTAAATTTGATCTGTTATGTCAATTAACATTGATTTGCTAATATAACTCTCTCTCTTTATCCCGGTGCTCCTTGTTATCACATATATTATTACACTGTAACTTGTATTGTTATTGTTAATGTACTTTGCTATTGTATGTATTTTCATTATAACCTGCCGCCTAACCCACTGGGTTGGCGGACCTGATTTTTGTGTACATGATCTCTAATAAAGACTTGATTTACCACCATTATTATCATAATACAGATCTGTGGAGCCAGACAGAGAGTGGATCATCGGATCATTGAATATATTCAGCGAATGGTAGGAGCAGGAGTAACCAGTTTAGCTGAGATGAAGATACATGTCGAGAGGTTTGTCTCTGGAGCTTTGTTCAATGGCAAACAGATCCCGGACCTTAGTAACAGAAGATACTTTCCTGAAGACAGTGATATCAGGTGAAGAGAAGACTTCCTCTAAAGTCTATTTCATCTTACTGATAATGGTTGAAGTGTTTTAAACTACAACTAGCCATTTTGCTCATAATTTTTAAATGTTTTGTTTACAAAATACTGCCTGTTCTTGCCTCTTAATATTTTTATTAATTCCTGAAAGATGTTTGAATATAAATTGTCTATTTCTATACTATGTTTAGGTATCACATGTACACAGCGGAAGGGAAGAAGAAAGCCAATCAGACTGATATTGAAATGGATATTATGCAATGGTTAAAAGATGATCCTAATCAACGTTTCTTATACAGGAGAGGCTCTAAGAAGGTATGGTTCAGGTTTTGAAGTAATTCTCTTTCATCTGGCATATTTCTAAGGCTCTGAATCTAAACGTATCGAGCCAAAACCTAAAATTTTATCTCGGCTGTACGGTCGATGAACAATGCTAACCATACTCAAGGAGTCACAGATGTACTCCCTGTATTACGTATTTGCCGGCGTAAAGGCTGCAGTATTTTTGGGAGAGAAAATATCAAAAAGTCAGGGTGCGGCCTTTACGACGAAAGAGTAAAAAAAAAAAAAAAACGAAAGTCAAAACCAACACGAATTTGCACGTATGGGACTAGAAACAGTAAAATAACAATACCACTATGGTACAGGACATTTCCAAACATCTTACCGACAATTTTATCTTGCATTGTTGACATGAAGACAAAAGTAAACGTCCTAACACAACATTTGCCGATAGATCTTGATCTAAGTTCGTGCCAATGCATTGCAAAAGTAAAGGAAGGGACAGTCTAACGGAGCTGCTGCGAACATCCATCCAAAGTCGCCATTTTGTTTTTCCATTTCATGCAGTTTCGCATTACACCGTACATTGTGGTAGGGGTATATCGGACACCAAATCTGCCTGCGATCACTTTTTTAGCTAAACTTCCGGTAAATTATAAGAATATGGATGAATTTGGTATCGGTTTGTGAAAAAAAATTGTGTTTTCGAGAAAATTATGATTATTTTGTTTTGTCCGTTTGTTTTTTTTTCCTTTTTTTTTTGTTTATTTTTATTTTTTTTCCCTCTTTGAAATGTCAAAGTTAGGGTGCGGCGGTGCGGCCTTATCGCCGGCAAATACGGTAGCTCAGTCAAGGTCAATAAATGTATCTATGTTATTCAAAATATGTCTCAAAGGTTCTTTACCTTACCCATTTAGTGAGGAAGTTTGAAACTCCTGGAGATTTGCAAGCTAAATTACCAAAAGAAAGTTTTAAAAATGGTTTGATACCTAGCCATGGTGGCTAAGCCCAGTTTAACATTAGGGTAACAGACTTATAATCTTTTTGTTTGTGTTTGTTCGTGTGTGTCTAAATGTATTAATTGTATCTCTTCTCTTCCCTATTCCATAGCTTCATGGGTCGAATGGCAACACAAAACAATTCAAGCAACAACAACAACAACTGATACCACTTCAGCAATCATCATCAGATTTTAGTTTCAACCAACACCTGCCACATCTCCAGACATCCAGTGAGGCTGCCACACAGCTCCTTCCAAGCCAGCTAGCTCTATCTTACAGACTGGGTACTGAAGACACAGAGAAGGCACATTCAGATCAACAAGAATACCTCAATACCAACAAAGATCTTCAGAGGCTTCCTCCATCACCATCACATCAACATCAGTTTCATTCTCAACATCTACAACAGATACAACAAGCTTACCACAGCAACTATAGAGCAAACAATGATGCCACATCCCCTCTGCCATCACCACCAATGCCATCGGTATCTCAGCAGCAACATATGTCAGTACTGCATCCTCAACACTTGCAATGCTTCCCACAAGCTCACGCTCAGGGGACATTAAGACAACATCATGAACTCTCTCAGAATCAAACCTTGATGACATCCAGACCATTACAAGACACACATCATCTACAACAAGAAACGTTGCATCTCAATCAGCAGAGCCAATCTATTCAACATCAACAATCCTCAACTCAACTGCAACAATCTACTCACTCCTCGCAACCACAACCTACGCAAGTACCACAAAGTGTACACCTGCAACAAGCGCAACACATACCACGAGCGCAACGTACCCAAGTGCAATACCCTGAACATGTGAAACTGGCTGTGCCTTTAGGGGAGTCTTTGTTGCTGGTGCACCAAACACTGTGGCAGCAATACTTGTTGGCAAGATATGGAAACGAGTTGTGCATACTGGATCCTGTCTTCAGAACTACTGGGTAAATATCTTGCAGAAACTTACTTTGTTTTGTGGTTTTGTCAAAGTAAGATGTAGTTTAGGACATTAAAATTAAATTTTGTTGAAAACAAATTCAGATTTGGGTTAAATATTTAGTTAATATCTTTTCTTATCCCATCATCCATTGACACACTTCAAACCTTGCAGTTGTTTTGTAACCACTGTCTTCTTGATTTCATCTAGATACTAATAATAAATAGATTGTATCTTGTGAATTACACATGTTCCAGATATTTTATGTTACCACCCATGATTTTAAATGAATTCAATTAAAATATCTGAAACTCTGAAAGAAACTATTAATTGAGTATATCAGTTCATGAGTCTAATGATATAAGCTGAAGGTGCGCATAGCAATCTCATAGCACACATAACTAATTACAGGGTATTTTCAATTCCTTTTTAACAATGTATCATACAGGTGCTTGGTGCCACTATTTTTTGTCATTGTAAAGACAAACTGTGACTACCAGGTTGTAGCAAGTTTTATAGTGGAAGAAGCTAGGCAGGGGTTGATTAATGAGGCCCTGGCTGTTCTCAAGGAGTGGAACCCCTCGTGGCTTCCAGCTAACTTCCTAACTGATGTTGCACAGGAGGATTTGAATGCAGTCCAACAAGCATTTCCAGGTCAGCCTATTGTTCAAACAATCTTTTCCTAAAATTAACAGTAATGTCACTTGTACACTGAAGAAACTGAGGCTTTTTTTAAAGGTCGATATCTGATCTAAGGGGAATTGTTACAGTTTTACCCTAAAAAGGCCGGGTTATTTTGGTACCCTTTTGAATCTCTGCCATGGAATGATAAAAACAAATTAAACTTGACATATGTATGTCATCAAGAATAAGTCCATGAAACTTCAAATCTATGTCTCAAATGGTGTTTGAATGATTCACATATTAGCGAAGAAGTGACAATTCTGCACTGTGTACGGTACATATTTTATGAGGCAATGTTCATTTTGACCACTCACAATGCAGCGATTTTTGACACTACACAGTACCCTTGGTGTCCTTTGGTCGAAATCATTTAAATTTGGTACAAAAAGATAGGAGCCGGATGGATTCTGCCCCAGGCCCTTTCATGGTTAAAACTAAAAAATCAGAGCCCCCTCGGCGGTCCAGATCGCGTGCCCTGCACGCCGGACTTTGGGAAGCCCTGGTCTATAGTACAGTATTCCCAGGTCGGTCAGTCAGTCAGGGAGGAGGGGGGGGGGGGTCCTCTTGATACTACTCATCAGGATATTGACTAGAATTTAAGATTAATCATTGCTTATTCCACCAACCTACAGGTTACGCTGTTTATTTCTGTGATCATCACCGCCAGTTTGCTTGGGATCAGTGGCTAAACTCAGAGTCCAGTGAGCTACGAACCATGAAGCACAGTGTCCAGACCATGCTTGACCGTATAGCTAATGCCTCAACTGAAGGGGAGTACATGGCAGCCGTTGTCCACCTACAGGGCAGTCAGGCCTGGACAGAGCATGGTACTCTAAGAGATTGGCTGGGAAGGTTCTGGCTCCCTATGCATCAGGTATGTATTATGAATATTCATGAGCTAACAGTAAATTTAATATTTATGAAGGAGCATCAGGACCAAATGGAATTATAATAATGAAAAATAATAAAAACAGTGCTTATAAAGCGCTTACCACCGAAGTCTTTAAGCGATATAACAAACAAAATACAGTGATAAACAATTTAAAAAAAAAAAAAAAATTTAATTTAAAAAAATCAGAATTAATTATTGTAACTGATTCATATTAATCACAGATCCTGCACTTCATTTTGTATTGACTTGAGATTGGTTTAGGGACTTGAGATCGGGTAGGGATTGCAAAATGGTTTTGCTTTACAGAAAAAAATCAATCAGATTTAAGTCTAGAGAGTGACATTTAATGTGACCATTCAAACGGCATAAATCAGGATTAGAGTGTTAGCCACTAGATCAACTTACTTGCACATTGGTTTCCATTAATACAGTACATCAGATGAAAAACCTTTCTTTTTCCACCTTACATGTTTTATTAATGAGATCTGCATTTAAGGAGTCATGTTATTTTTTATTTATGAACTTTATAAGCTGATGTTTTTGTCACTTTTTTCTGTTATTCAGAGGTGGGTGAGAGCCTTCCGGCGGCAGTGTTTCATCAAAGCAGTTAACACCTCATCTGGGATAGGTCTTCAAAATAAAGCCTTCAAAGAATGCTGTCTGCAAGCTGACAAACAACCCAAACTATCTCAACTCATGAACGATATCCTCTACAGGTTGCTACCAAAGAACAAATCTTGGTGAGCTATACAAACTATCTCAACTCATGAACGATATCTTCTACAGGTTGCTACCAAAGAACAAATCTTGGTGAGCTATACAAACTATTTCAACTCATGAACGATATCCTCTACAGGTTGCTACCAAAGAACAAATCTTGGTGAGCTATACAAACTATCTCAACTAATGAGCGATATCCTCTACAGGTTCCTACCAAAGAACAGATCTAGCTTTACATGATAGCTAGATGATATCAATATGATACGTCAAGGGGATGTGGGTCTTAATCAAATCTGCTTGTGATGGAAATTAATTGCAAGTGTTAGGGATACATTTAGGATTAAGAATGGAAGGATACCTTTTATTTTTTACTTCAGTAAATAGTCACAATGCAATTTAATGGTATCCATTTTATTCTTGTTTACATTAAAGGGATCTGGTAACTCTGTCTCAGATTCTGAAACAAAATCCTGGATTTAGCTCATGCTGCAATGATAATTATAAACCTTTAGGTCAGTCAGGAACCCCAAGACTTTTACAAGCCGATCGCCTGTCTGATTATCAAGATATTATGATTGGAAATCAAACAAAATTTTGCGTTTACCTAACAGTTTTCATAGTACTACAGTCTATTGGGGAAAACGAGTATGGTAAAACCGGTCACTCAAAGATTTTTACTTTTTTGAGGCACTTCTTGATCATTTTGAAGCGTGATTTTTTTAGGGCTTCAATATTACCCCATATCACAGACAGTGATAATACGTAGGGCCATGCATCTCAGATTTAACATTGTTAAACGATGCCTTTAATGAAGTCTAAGTAGACAAATTTTGCTGATTGAATGTCTCTCTTGATTGCAGGTATTTCCAATGTAACTCCAAAGCAGATGACGGATGCCGTAAGTATTGTACCTCCATACCCAGCTTCCTTCATAAAAGACCAAGATGTTTCCTCAAGACATGTCTACAGCAATGGAAGGCTGCAAGGAACATCCAACCAGATCATATCAAACTCCTTGATGAAAGCTGTGGCATCTTCCACGTCCAGTCACCCTCGGCAACCAACCTCATATCAGACCGCATCACAGTCAACATGATGCATCCAGATTGTAGTTGTAAGACATGGGTAAGATCAGCCCTGCCTTGTAAACACATCCTAGCTGTTATTATCCATGACAATGCATGGTCTTGGGAGAAACTACCATCCTCATACACTCAATCACCTTACTTTAACATTGATTATGACTTTGTGAATAAGATTGTTGGTAACTCCCCCATCATAACACCACTATCAGCACGGGGAGAAGATGATCAACCTCGTCTCCAAGATTCTGATCAAAGAATCGTAGCTACCTTGTTTGATACCATACCCATGGAGGAAGGTGGTGCCTTAGAACCAGATGACAGTAGCAATGAGACACATAATCCCAGTCCAGATGACATATTGGACCAAGACCAGGACCAGGAAATAGACCAGGCCCCAGTCTTAGTTCTAGGAAGGTGCCAAGCAGTACTGAAGAGACTCCACTCAAAGATAGCATTGATAAAGGATGAAAATACATTCGAGACTGTGCTTTCATTATTGAACAAGACAGAGATTGCCATAGACAGGTCGATAGTAAGAAAAACAGTGCCAGACAGCCTCGGCACTAGGCCAAAACGAAGAAAGTTAAAAAGGATAGGTTCTCAGGAGTAGAGTTGGGAGGTTACAAAGAGTAAAACGTAATAACAACAACATCATCAAATGAATTTTGCATCATAACAAGAGGACACCTGGTTTGATGTATTTGTTTTTATGATGTATGACCAGTCCTATGTTCTATTAATCTATTTGATAACAATATATTTAAATGTTAGGTCACTTCAAGTTTGTTCGTTCGTGTCTCCTTTGATCAAGATAGATATGTAAAGTTCTTTAATTAAAAATTAAATTAAATTAAGTTCTTCCATCGCTCGATTGCTGCAATGGCCGTTTCATTAACAAGGGCCAGGTCTTCATGTGTGCAACTTCAAGTAATAACGTTTTATAATGAGTACAAATACGATCACAGGCAGTTATGAGTTGAAGTTTTTGGATGCATTTTAATAGACCAGTTCATAGATTTTCTGTCATAAGTTCTATTCAACTTAAATAGTGATGAACATATACTGCATTTTCATTTAATTGCACATCAAAAGTAATATTACAGGGTGAATATAAACCTATATGATGATTATTGTTGTTGTTGTTATTTATTATTATTGTTATGGTCAAGACAAATATTTGGGTAAAGGGATGAAATTGTTTACAAGAATATTGTGTAAAATGTTCTATTGCTGACTTGTTACAGTTAAAATTTTGACTTACAGTTACATTTACAACCAACAAAGCCTGTATAAGATTATGCCTTCTTATGTTGCAATAATGAAATAAGAAGTGAAGGGCAACTACATATGTAGTAGTACATCATTAGCATGTTCATGATTAAGCAAAATTCTGCAATCCTTAATATGAAATATTGAAATGTGACTTTTCATTCATAATTACTCTTCAGTATATAACAAATAATCTGAGGAATTCTCAGTCTTACTGTACCTAAGAGGTCGTGTGAACACAAAGGTATTTGTATACTAGTGCTGTGGTCAAACGTTTAACCGTACGGTATCCGACCGTCCATGGCACTATCCATTTTCAATTGGACGGTTTCGTTTTCCTGTTTTTTGGGGGGGGGAGGGGGTTAATTTTTTTATTTTATTTTTTTTAAATTTTATTTTAACAAAATGTATTGGAAATTAATGACTGGGTTTCACTTTCTTTATGAAGCTAATAAATCAAGTTTTGCCAACATTATAGTCATCATAAGTAAGCCCTGACTGTTGAATGTTGAATTGCAGAGCAACAATCTACACGATAACAATCAATTGCAAGATTGTAGATTGAGAAGTTGACTCGTATAAGCAAGTTCCCAGCCTTGAAATACATGCACAATACTTCACTGATGTCATTTATTTAACAACAGAAACAAATGTAAAAAAAAATAATAATTGTTTAACCGAAAAACTGTCGTTTTGACTAGCGGTTAAACGGAATTGGAAATATCTGTGATGTTATAACACTATTGTATACCCTCTAGTACTCCAGTGCATAGAGAAATTTCGCTGTCTAGTTGCACTTTTTTTAGTCCCAACTTTATTATTATTACTGTAGTAATCGAACATGAGGATAAATGTACCTACATAAGTTAAAAGTTACTATGTGTGCTTTCTTCTTTCTTTCTTTCTTTCTTCTTCATCTTCTGTATAAAAGAACAAACTTCAGTTTCTAGTCTGAAAATGGAATTTAAGATCCTCCATTTTTTTTGTTTCTTACCAACATCTTGATTCTTAAAGCCTAGTCCAAATGCACTGGAGAAGTAGTACCAGCTGAATAGTACAATTTATCTAGTAACCAAATAAATTATAAGCCACAACACTCTTTGATACCCTGATGTACTTTTACAGAGAGTAAAACCTGCCACTCATTATAGGTTCAGAAATCTTGGAAAATACAGTTGTTGTTGTTGTTTTTGACATATATGTTATTATCATGAAACCCATTTGTGAAATGGTCTACTAATGATTATCTTGGGAGTTGTCGGTGCAGTATTATATATATATATATATAATTATATTATAACTTAGTATTTATGTTGAACTGAGAAAAGTATTTACAGAGATGAATCTTGCCAATAAACAGTACTCTATCTAAACAATTTAATACATGTGTTTTGTACCTTATATTTATAGTGCTCTTTCCTTTTTCAGCCCATGAATAGTATTTGCAAGTATGCAAAGTCATTCTTCTAGATTTCTCAAGCCTAGTTGATGAATAGAAAGATGCTTACCATCAATCTATAATTGACTGCGGACATGAATTTTGTGAATAATTTTTACTTCTTAGCGGCCAATAGAATTTGCCTGTTGATGTCATTTGTTTGTAACCCATAGATACACTCTAAATGTTGCTATAACTATGCAGTGCACCAACACAAATGCATACCGGTATGCAGAATAGAGGTGTTTTTTTTAAACAAATAGCTTAAAGAAAATTCCATTAAGTTGAAGAAAATTTAAGATGTTTCTTTTGGCCCGTTCTCAGCACCAATGGTTATTTTAGCCCATATGAGTTGCATGGTAAACCGTTTCAGAGAACAGGCAGAAAAACATCCTAGCAAAGAGTAGCTTTCTGTCTGGCAGCCCTCTAAGGCCTAAAAAAAAAATGTTTTATTGCCTTTTAGGGGCCAAAACATGGGTCGGTCGGTTGGTCGGAAATCTTCTTCTTTTTTTCCCTCCCTCTTTGGGCTGATATTTCTTAGTTTTAAATGTTTTAATACATATTTTTTTATTTATTAAACTTCTTCTTTTTTTTTTTAATTAAAAAAAAAACTTTTCTAAAAAGCCGACCATAAATTTCAAGATTTTTGGGGTCAGTCGCAAAGGGCAATACAACTTCTTTTTTTGTAGGCCTAATACTACAAGAAGATGCAACATCCTCTGAAAGGGTATGTGCATGGTGGCAATGGAGTACAATAAGTGCCTTTAAAAGTGTTAATTGCAATAGATGTGGTTATTGTTGATCTGATGATGTGGAATTCACGTTGATACATGTATACACATGTAGGATCAACGATAATAATCTACAGTCAAACCTGTCTCAATAGCGGCCACCCAAGGGAAACCCAAAATGTGGTCTCTGTAGACAGGTGGTCACTAAATCAGGTTTGACTGTATCATGATACAGACACATTTTTTCAATAATTTGACCATACAACAAGCAAACACCTTGACACTATGAAATGTAGTTTTATGATGCTTAAAGCAATCATCAATTTATATGTTTTACACAAAAAAAATGGAAGATGCATACACAGAATGAAATACGTACCGTACCATATACACAACTTAACTTTAAAAGTAAAGAACAAAATTATGCGAAACATACACAACTATATTTCTATGTAATATGTAATCTACAAATCAGACTTGATATTCCAAGAAAAGTTATATAATTTATCATCCACTTGGTGTCATTTTGATGATAAACTAATAACACAGACAGATACTGTACAATGTAGCTGTGCTTCATAAATAATGATATTTTACCATTTTCACTTCAAATACATTCTTAGATATATTCCATGACAACATTATAGAGTTCCCTTTCTCAAAATATTTCAGGATACATTTTTCAGTGTGGAATTTTATTTCAAAATAATATTCTTCACTGATTACAGGACTTTATTCATGATTGCCTCAAAGATTTTACTATTAATTCACAGACCCAGAGTCATAACTTATAAATGAGGGCCAAGTTTTTGTTTGCCCTAAAAGACCCATGAAAAAAATCCCTGATAGGGTACAAATCTTATACTGAATAATAACAAAGTCTAATGTGGGTCAGAAAAAAGTAAATAACAAATTATGAAGGGATAGGTATTACCCACAGAGAAAACGATTCCCATAATCCACTTATTTTTCTCAAAACAATTAATTATGAATAGATATTGTTTAGTCTTACCATTTCATGTAATATATGAATGTAAACAAGCCTCACTGAATGTTCCAGAATATTCAACAAATTCACTACTTTAATTCCTCATCCTTTAATCTTATACAGGCATGTCTGACAGATAAATCAAATTCTCGCTATCGCCAATACCCTAAATGCCTGGATGTAAATTGCATGTCCCAATTTCAAATGCACCCTGTAATAGCTTGGTGCCTTAGTTGCTTCCGGTCCATTTCACGCAGCTGTGTACATGTGCGCACCGTCCGGTCCTGGCCGAAGCCGTAGTCACCGAGCTAGCTAGCTACCTTTCACTTTGTCTTCTACTTTTACAAACTGCATTGTCAGTTAAAATATGGTGCGATACTGTGAAAAGTTGCTCAGAAGGCAAGACAAGTATGAAATCACTGCACGATCACGGCTAAGTTCACAGAATTTTTAAAAGAACAATTATAAAATGATGGACAAGCAGTGGTATGCCCTCTATAAGTATTTCTTCTTAAACAATCATGGACTTGTAAAAATTCCAAAGAGGTCAGTATAGCAACCTACAAGAGAGCTTTCGAATACATACTGCACATGCATAATACGTGTAATGCATGGATGTGCGCACCATATGCATGCACCATTTGGGGGTATGGGCAATAGCGAGAATTGCTGTTCAAGTATCACACTAAGAAATAATGCATGGAAAATATCAGACTTTGCTTACTTAATGACACTGCTGTATTTAAAAAAAGATACAATATAAAAGTAACATGATCAAGCAGCAATTAAACTTTCATATAAAAATGGACTGGCAGAAAGTAGTTGAGTGGATCAATGTACACTGAATGATTGTAAGGCTCCTTTCCAAATTTCTATATGAAATTGTATCATGGAAAAGTAGTTTGAGGAAAGAAACAAAGCCATGATTAGGACTTAAAGCACCCACTCATTCATTTGATGCATGAATAATACAATGTGATCAGCAAAGTACCAGGATAAATACAAGTGCATTACCTTCAGTAGTATATATTCAGAGTTGCCTTTACTAAATAGATTTAACTACTTACCGGTAACTTAATTACTGTTTCTCGGGACAACCTGTAATCAAGAAGCTCACTGCGATACATTAATTGATGAAATAAAACTTATACAGGTATTTCTTTTTGACTGAACAAAATTAATTTTGCATTACCTTTCATTCTACAAAGAAGTACTAAATGAAATTGTAATATGGTCATCCTTTGTTCACGATTCTGTTCGAGGGTTCAGACAGTGACACAAAGAGGTAACTCAATATTTTGGCAAAATGAGTATTTGATATCAAAATGTTCAGAAAAATGTGGGCTTTCCAGGAAACATAAAGACTTAACTCCACCCAACACCCCATTGAGGTCAATGGCTAGTGAAACATAGACTTAACTCCTCAAGGCCCAAGTGCTCAGTGACACATAAACCCCTTTTTCTCAAAATAAATTTGAAAACACTCAGTTCTTATCCTTGAACTCGAGGCATCTCAAGAGAGCTAAATGATTCAACTGCTACAAAATAATGAACTACAATGTACATTAACTACATCAAGAGCTATCTTTCTATCTTCTAAGCTATCTACCAAGTTGAGGAGCTGTGGTCAAGAGAGCCAAATCACTGCTACAAAGTAATGAACTAATATTATAATACTTCTCTACATGTACCATGTACATAAAGTACATCAAGAGCTATCTATCTACCGAGTTGAGGAGCTGTGGTCCAGCGGCTATCTGATCTGATGTTGAACATTGTCACGAAGATCAGTTTTATGGTCCTTAGGATTGGCCACGGCTTCATAATTCACCATCAGAATCCCCTGCCTTGGAGCCTGCATAAGAAATACAAGTGGAATGAGAGCAATCATGTAACACGTGCAGATGTACATCCTTAACAAACATTACTTTCAGCAAAGATAACAAGTCAAAACATTTATAGCATATGATTGTCTGTATCATGATCTTATTGTTCAGTGCTCACATTTTAATACTTGTAGTGAGAAAAATTATAACTCCTGCCAACAATTTTGGGAATTCATAAAAGTCATCAAATTTGTTGCAAAGGTCACCTATTCCAAACATGAGGAATTATGGACAAAATAAAAGATAGATGGGAAAGGATACATCAATGAACATGAACACGAATATAAGTAGAATCTATGTAACAGGGAGGAAATAGACCTCTAGAAGATTCACATTATGAAGATGTATCAATGATACATTGCTCATCATTATCCACTGCATAAGATCAATTCTAAAAGTTATACATGTACTTGAAATAAGTTTCCTTCTTCTTCTTATAAAAATTAGCTTTACTCATATAACTGTCCTGCAATGAGAATACTTCATATTTTAACTTTGATTCTAATTATTTATTTTCATCTCAGTCTCACCTCTGTAAACTCTCCTTTCAGTCCAATGTAGTAGATCTTTGATGTCTCGGCTCCAAAGTTTTTTGAGAAGTGAATGGAAAGATGGTTGACATTAAAGAAGCGGGCGGCTCTGTAAATAGAATGGACATGAAACAATAATCAAGACCTACATGAAGTACACTTTAGCTTTTCACCCTGGCCTTGTTTGCTCCATCATGCATCCTTCATGCATGACAAGATTTGGAATGATTTGCCATAACTACCTACCCTCTCCTATTAAAAAACAGGTTCACTAACACCAGCTAAAAAGAAACAGCAATTTTGATTTTTGATTTCTTTAATTCCCATCAAAGTTACATCACTTTGGCAAGTTCTTTTGTATTTATGACCATTTCTACAACTAGGTGTAAGTGCGTGTAAGGCTAATAGATGTTCATGATGCATGTAATAATTGAATATGTGCAGTAAAGTTTAGAAATGCCCAGAGTTAACAATATATGTACAATTGTATATTCAACAGGAATTTAAAACATCATCAAGCACTAGAAACTATGGAATTATTCCAGGGATTAAATTATCTAGCACTTTTACATTATTTGATTATATTAACCCAGTGTGTCCGCACCTTAAACTGTGTTTTCATTTCCATTAAAAAATATTACAATGAAAATTATTTTTGAGGGACTTATTTTATTCATGTTCATGTGCTCTGATGCAACCTTTCCCCTCTATTTTTTATTTTGTTCATAGTTCCTCCTGTTTGGAATAGGTGACCTTTCTTCGCAACAGATTTGATTACTTACTTTGTGGCATAGTCCAGTTCTCCTGTAGAATCTCTGTGCATCTCAATCATTTGATCAGGATCAGACTGAACATCATCAAAGGTCATGTGAGGTCGATTCTTATACCTGATCAATCAGAGAAATCAGATTGGAATTACTGGGAATTCTAAATGAAAATTGTTATCTTATTCATCTTCTTCTTCCTCTTGATTACTTTCAGGTTTGGAGAACTGCAGGGTTGTATCCTTTACAGATTGAGTCAAAAGACAATAAGATATAATAATAGGATTAGGGGTACATAAATGTAGAAAATCACAAGATGTGCTAATTACAGCATATGCACGAGCTGCTTTGTTCACAAAAGATTGATTCAAGTGCATTTTAAGACAGTTAATTTAAGCAAGAAGCAGAACTATGAACCTGACAATTGAGATAAAATGTCCAAGGATACAATCGTCCAAGAATAAAATACAAGGTGTATAGACATATTGAGTGATTTCAAATTTGGTGTTAAGGCCCGGTCACACAGCCCTCCACAGGCGTATCGCAGCCGAATCACGGCCAAAAATTTCTGCCCGTGAAGCAGACGCTGTTGGACGCTTTGAGGTCGCGATAAAGACGCGATACAGCCGTACTTTACCCGTCGTTACACGCGGTAAGAAATTCACACGCGGTTGGCCGCGTGAAAAAGTTTTGGGCTGCCCAAAAATTTAGACCGCGGGTAATCGCGGGCGGTACACGTGGTACACACGCGGTACACACGCGGTAAATACGCGGTACAGACGCGGAACGAACGTGCTAGGACGTGCTACGGCCGCGGTTAAGACGTGGTTACACGCGGAATTGGACGCGAAATTTTAGCGGGTAATCGCGGGTGGAGCACGGTCATAGCACGTTTGTTCCGCGTCTGTACCGCGTTGTTATCACGTGCATTAGCGTGTGTACCGCGTGTAAGCGTGGTAGGCCGCGGTACCGCCGCGCTTCACCCGCGATAAGGACGCGGAACAGTCGCCGGCGTCTGTTCCGCGGGCATACCACGGGTAAACCGCGGGTAAGCCAATTTTGTACATTTTCCACCACGGGCAACCGCGGGCAAAAAAAGAATCGCGAAATTTTACCCGCGATACAGACGCGAAAGGCTGTGTGACCGGGCCTTTAGTGTTAGTGTTAGTGTTAGTGTTTAGAGCAGTCAAGAGCTCTTAAATCGAGCAGAGAATTTGCTGATGAAATTAAGAGCCCGATACCGATATCAAAATCGATAGCTTAACACCAGCCGTGACGTCACCACATACTTGATTTCACGACAATGATTTAAAAATAGTACATCAAAACTACAGATATCATGAAAAGTACAGAATAAATTTACACCTATTTCTCTGGTCTTAGAAAATAACTAATTTTACACGAAAGAATATATTAATTACCTGTTTCACATATTTTTTATTTGATTGTCAGACAATACATTGGCGTCGTTCGTGCGTTGACTGTGTGCGGGTACAACACTAACACCGAACTGGAAATCAACATTTGCTTAATCCCTAGGGGCTAGTGTTAGTGAATAGGACATTTGTACGTAAAATATTAACACCAGCCACAAAGGTCGGTTCAGCAGACGACAATTTTGCAAAATCGATAACACTAGCTACCGGAAGTTGACGGTATTCAGAGGTCAAAGCCTTAACACCAGCTGATTTCCATTTCGGTGTTTAGGCTGGTGTTAGTGTTTATTAAACACTAACACCAGCCTTAAACACCCAACTTGAAATCACTCAATGTACATGCTGTACATGCTGCAAAGAATTTACCATAATACTGCTGTCCAACGTTTTACCTTACTGGACATGGCATGGAATTCTATGGAAGCAACAACCATTCCTTTTTTCAATTTCAAAAATTAATCTGGTATTAGTGATTCAATTTTCATATAAATTCATTTTTGTTTCTCAATTCGAAATGGGCGAGACGGTAACATATGAATATTGGTCATCACAATTTCTCTAACTTGTACAGAAGAATAGAAGAAAAAAACTTACAGTTTCATTTCAGATGGATGACTATCATCTTCTCCTCCGATCACAATTATACCCTTTAACTTCACGTTCCCAGTGAACCTAGAACAGAAATTACACAAATACAAACATCTAATGAACAGCTTCTCCTACAGCCACAATTATATCATTTAGCTTCATTTTATTCAATGAGAATTTATGCAAATGGAGACTTTGTGTAAAATTGCTTCACTCGTGTATAATTGTGGGAAAGCAGTCACCACTTTTTATTATTCAATGAAAAGAAAAATAAACCATATTTTAATATTCACTGTAAATAGAAACAAAAAATTGAATTAAGCAGGGGTAGTTTTCAGAAAACGATGTTAAGTCCAAAGTCCAAAATTGGGTAACAGATTTTTCAGGGGGCAGGACTTAACATATTGTTAAAATAGTTTTGGTATTCTGAAAACTCTTTAAGCCCGCAGATAACATAGAAGTTAACATGGAAATAACATTGGCCTAGAGGACTTTTAAGTTTTGTACACCAGTCTATTTATAGGTGAAATATGCATAAGATATTTTCTTTCTTGTGTTTTTCTAATTTGATTTCAGTGATCATTACACCGATTCTTCAGATGTACAACTTCCAATAGTAAAACAACTAAATAAACTGTTTAAAAAAAAAGGAAAGATATTGCATATAAAATCATGTTGCTCAGTGAACTGAATATGTGCTATAGTTCACATGGAGATTCGTTCACATACATGTAGCCTTACGTGTGATCAAACATGAAACGTGATTGGCTGAGAGTACATTTTAACAGCGATTAATTCTCAATGGAGAATCAATGAAAAATGGGCGTGTCATGGAGGTAACCTAACAAAGGTTAACAGAATACCACCCAAGGTCTCCATACTTACGGAATATTGAATAAAAGTTCTTCATCATCGTCGCTCTCTACAAACTAGAAGTAAAAAGAGGATGAAAGATGAAGATTTAAATACCAAATTAAGAAAATTCAGTAGGCCTACTTACTTACTTACTTTAGTCCATCGATGCTTGTAGGGCAATGCCTGTTCATCGATAATTAGGTTGAAATCATTTCCATCTCTCTTCGAGCGTAAGTCTTATCAAGTAGATCTACTGATTGTTTTTTATACTTTGTATCATAATTGGGGAAAATGTCAGATGACGAAAGGTTTCACAAAAGAAGATAAAATACTTGTCCTGTCATTACCGGTAGTAGCATTTGTTCAAGACCAGTACGACTATTTGTATGAAAGCAGAAAAATAAGATAAATGGAATGGCACAAGTTTGAAATAAATCAGATCAAGAATAAGAAATTATGAATGTTTGAAAATGAGATCACTAAGTCTATGCTAATCTCAAATTGGCAATTCGGTCAGTAGATTGTGACGTTGCCAGAGACAATGTGCAAACATATCATTTATTTCTGTTTTTCTCCTAATTAAGTGCATTCTCCGTTGGAGGCTTTGGGCGCTACTCAAGAGTATGAATTGAATAGCATATTGATGATTATTATATTTATTTATTGTCATCTACAGGTATGTCCTCTAATTTCTAACAAGAAAAGGTAAGACTAGACTCTATAAGTTTTAGCAAATTTGGTCATCATCAATGTGACTAAACTTTGAAGTAAATTTTGAGTGAACTCAGTTGAGTTTTGTACAGTGAGCATGGTGAGTGATATAGATCTATAGAGGTTGTCTAAACATTTTTAATACACAGAAAAAAGTATACTAATGCAGCTATGTGTGAGTCAAACTAGAGTATCCATGTGCATGCTGAGCATCATGACTTGATTGAGCATGCGCATGGATACTCTAGTCTTAATAAATTTGCCTACAGAAAAACAAACGAATGGGGCAACGTTATAACCTTTGAGAAATCGAGACGCTCGTCCCATGGTTTAAAAACCAGTTTTCCAGATCCGTCCGTCACTTCATTCAGACATTCCAGTCTTTCTGTATCAATCTTCGTGTAAAGGGAGAATAATGCACCTCTATCAGGATTATCATGGTCATGATCGTCGTGGCCTCCACATCCGTGACTGTGTCCGTGAGACATTTTGAAAAGTCATAGATGACCTTTGACATGTAAACAAAGACAACTTCCGTGTTATGTCGTATTTTTGTCTAAACGACTGGTACAAATCTACGTATCCTTTGTGGTTGTTATGACTACAGGGTTTCATTAGAGGGCTTTTCATTGGTCGATCGTTTCCCTGCTACCGCACTTTGACCAATGGCTCGTATAGATAGGAAGCTTTCCCCTCCTTTTGTGTTCGTTGCTAAGCAGCTCTCAGCTGTGTACAGAAATATACGGCGAGCGATCGCGAATGGTTTAGAGCTAGTTGGCAAAGCTGTAAAGTGAATGATCACACGCTGTCTACACATTCACCGTCTTGCATGCATGTTGCTTCAGTTTACCAAGACTAAGGGAAGATAAATATAATAGTCTGAAGAGTAAAGATAAACCCAATTGTATCAGAGGAACATATAATCAGGTGAATATTACAGCGATTTCCATTTTTTAAAGAAGATTTTCCCAGGCATTCCATTGATCATGACGTGATTGTTTTAAAATTTGGAACTGGTTTTGAATTTGACTTCTGTTGTGGAGTGAGCAGCTACTTGAGCTAGCTCAGCTGGTGGGCTGAGGCGATATTTATTGGGAGCAATTGAAATTGAATCATGTTGATGCAGAGTTGAACAAGAGAGTGAGGCATAGTATGTTTCTTTAGTCGTAGATCTATATTGAGGGCTGCCGGCTGTCAACTTTGGGAAACTGCTTGGAGGGAGATTTTTAGTTTGGAGAAAAATTTCGCAACGACTCTACCAGCCGCTGAAAAAGCGGAGGGGGGGGGGGAGGTTTTTTCATAAACTGGAAGATTCTACATCATTGGCAGGAGAGTGGGAGAAAGGCGTGGTGGCGGCCGAGTCTCCCGACTCTAGTTTTGGGGTGGCGTGAGACTCCCTCCAAATGCGGGATGGTTGACAGCCCTGGTTGTAATATTTGGTGTGCACTTTTGTGATGCAAGAGCCAAGACAAAGTGGATCTTATTAAAATCATATTGTCAAAATGTTATTGGTTTATTGACTTGACTGCTTCTTGACTAATCTAGAGTCTAGATCGATCTAATGTGGGCTCTAGACTAGTTGTGATACTTTTCGCGATACTTCTTCTACTTCTACGACGATACTCAGCAGGATCCATAAGTCAGGATGTAGTGCTGAGGAATAAACTATCTAGTTCTTGGTCTAGATGCTGAGTGGAAGCGCTCCCTTGAAGCCCTCCAGTGAAGAAGCGTCAAGGGTGATCTTCGAAAGTGCATTCCACGCAGTTACTGTTCGAGGGAAAAATGAGTTCTGGTACTTGGTAGAGTTGGGTACTTGGTACTTGGTATTTGGTAGGATTCCTCCAAAAGACGCCGTAAAGGTGTTTAAACTGGAGGTGCGGGATGGGATAGCCAGCAACTTCTTTGAGTGATCATGGGTGCTGTGTAATGGTGTGCATTGATGGCTACTTTGTTGATAGTCAATGACTAGACTCTAGATCTAACTCAGTATAGCTAAACTAGACTTTCTAGGCCTAACTGTTGTTAATGGGTTGTGCATGTCTGGACACTTGACAAAAATGACACCTTGTCTTTTGCCTTCAGACTTATGAAAATTATATGTCAAATATCACTTACATAACAATTGTAATATTTTAATCATTCTTTGTCTCTCTTTCATCTTTGCTAGATCAGAGAACTCAAGAAAAGTCATCATGTCGATCAAGACAGATATCGCCAGCAAACCAGTCACCCATTTCGCCCCATCAGACTGGCACACAAACAGCCACCTCCTTTCTACAAATGCTGAGAAACTCCGTGATAATTCCCACTCCACCCGCCAAGAATCTAGCCAGCTTCGTAACGAAACCTACAACCGCACATCATGGGGTATCCATGACAACACAACTCGTCTATCAAACAGGATTGATGACATTGAGACGTGGCGTGAAACTCTGGAGAAGACCCTTGCAGACGTCGATGAGGAGATTAGGAAGCTGGAAGAAGACAAGGACCTGGCAGAGAGGGCGCTAGAGGCTAAAGCTCTTCCTCTTGATGTAGCATCAGAATGCAAGACCCTACGTGATGGCAGGCGGGATATCGATGTGGTAGATGACCTAGCAAACTCAGAAGTCGGCAAGGTAGGTGTTCAACAGACTAGATTAGCAATTTCTTTAGGTGTAAAATTTGTAGTATTGAGACAAAATCAATTATTAAAGACGGGAGACAAAATCACATAGACTAATCTTGAACTAGATTCAACTAGATTCAACCACAATTTCGTAACAAAAAAAATCAATACAGTCTTTAATTAACAGTGTTGAGATGTATGAAATTGATCTTTACTATTAGATACCATTTTAGTTGAATTCGAGTTGAATTAATACCTTTATGCATGGATCTCCTATTTGTTTTCCTATCATAAAGAGATTGACATACCCTAAACCTACTGCTCTGTGTAATCCTCGCAATCATGATTCTGTCCAAAACTACTAAGCCTAAAATTTTATCTCAAATTTGGTTTTTCCTTTGATTGAGTATCCATGGAGACTAAAGATGTGTTTTGTTTCTTGTTGTTGTTTCCAGGAAATTGATGTGATAGAAGGTATCAAGGATGCGTTGCAAGCCAAGGTGAGCTCTGCCTTTGAGCAGCTGTGTCTCCTCCAGGAAGCTCGTCAGCAGCTTCATGCTGATCTCAGGGATAAGACTGAAGCTAAGAAGATTGATACCTACTGTCATGATCTCACTATTAGCTCTCCTGATATCTGCTATCAACCAAACTCTACCAGGACACCTAAAGGGTAAGTTCTTTCATAACGAATGGTTATCACCATCTCTGTTCTTTATGCATACAATTAAGCTATTCATATCAACACTTTGATTGTATTTCTCTTCTATTTGTAATTTTGTACATAAACTCATGTATTCTGAAAAATGCACAGAGAATGAACAGCAGAAACTTAAACCAGAACTTTATATGATTTTAAACATTATTAAACATATTCAACTTTATTCCCCCTTAAATTCTTTGCTGACAGTGTCAGTGCCAATCTTTTGTTTCATATTTTTTCATAGTCTGTGATTTGATGTTCTCTGTCTTCTTAATTACACAGGGTGTTTCTTGATCATATTCTCCTTTTGCAGCACACATAATTTAGCTCTGTAAGAATACATTTTGATGATATCTTTTCATTTGTCCATTCTTATAGGAGTACCACACCCCAGACATGGGAAGACTTCTCTCGTTACAACAAGGATCGAGCCGATGCTGAGATGCGCTCTTCACAGCGTCTTAGAGAGGCGATCCACAGCACAGTAGCTCAGACTGATAACGACCTGGAAGCTCAACGTCAAGCTACTGAGTTTGCTCTCCGTAAGAGAATCCATGAGATGAAGAGAGCTAAGGATGAAGATGAATGGCAGAAGAAGAATGTAAGTTCACTCTCAAAATCTTTATCTGTCCTATTTTAATGTCCAATATACATTACGTAAACATGTACATTTCAACAGTTTGGAGCCAGAGGCTTGTTAACTTAATCATTGTAAAATTAATCATCGAGTTAAAGTCCTTCTGGCTCCAAATTAACGATTTTAAACCAACACACAAGTGCACTTACCCAAGGCATAGAATAGTTTATGTATGTGTAGTAGCAATCTACACTTTCTATAAACCAATTCATTAAATTGTAGATATTCAGACAGTCCAAATAGTTGCATAAATCTTATATGTTTTCAGGGTTTTTCATGTCCTACCCCTTTTTCTTAATTCTAGTTTTTTTTATTGCAAAGAGCTTGAACTTGTGCAAGAGTTTCCAAACTAAGAGAGAGAAAGAGAGAGAGAGAGTAGCTTCACTGTGTCTAGATGTATCTAGATGTAAAGAATGATGATTTCTAATTGATATTGTTTATCATTCCTTCACCTCAGACTGAAGAGGAGATTGCAAAGCAGGAGCGTAACATTCGTGAGCTGGAGCAGGCTATCAAGGACAAGGAGAACCCTCTCAAGCTAGCCATGACCAGACTTGAGAACCGCACCTACAGACCTAACGTTGAGCTGTGCAGGGATAATGCTCAGTATGGACTCGTCAATGAGGTGCATGAGATCCAAGATAGCATCAAAGCTCTGGAGAAGAAACTCCAAGATGCACAGTAAGTTTTTTTTCTTCTTCAATGTTTTGGACCCTCCGACAGGCCATTTTATTGAAAATAAATCTCTGAATAACATATTATTAGTTTATTCATGGAATAGACATTGAATAGAAATGAATTGAGGGAAGAGGGTGAAGCTGATATGGAGGTGATGATCATCAGAGATGAGATCTGTAAGATTATGTTCAGCACTGTCTGAAGAATACATTAAGAATTTCCAAATATCCAGTAGAAATATCTTGTGAATGTCTTGAAAAGTTTTGACATCTTTGTCTTGACTGGAAAGCCCATTAAAGAAGGTAAAAAACTCATTGGATGTAATGTTGATGTCCCAAGTTATCTCAGGTTAATATGCTTGAAATGCTAATGATCGAGTCTCGTTTATTTTGTTACAGCAATGCTCGTGATGCGTGTGAGAAGCAGCTGTACCGTATCAACAAAGACCTGGAACTGAAGAACAATTCTCTGGATCTAGACAACAAGTGCATGCAGGTCAGAGAGAAGCTGACCACTGGACCGGTCACTCAGACCATGAACAACCTCTCTACCTTCAAGACTGATAGAGAGCTCTACACAGCACAGAGGAGTCTACTTGCTTGAGCAGCTAGTGCATTCCAATTAAAGAGACTTTATAGATCTAGGATCAAGCATAGCAACTAAGAAGAGCTGCATTAGTTGTTTCATAATGCTGATCGATCCACAGCTGAGATACCCATAGACTGATCTTGTCAGGACTCTCAGTAAATTGATCACTAGATAGATGGCATTCATATATACCTTGAACTGTTTACTCCACTTTAGGGTGATTGTGAATAAGTTTTTAAAGCTCACAATCATGTTACATGTAAATCATTATCAATATCAAAGTGGTATATTTACTACACTACATGAAACATTGTGCCATCCAGATAAATTGTGACATTTATTTATCAATCTTCTGTTTAACAAGTGAAAGATATTTTTGAAAGAATTTTCTTATACTCCAATCAAGAATACCATTATCCTAATTCATTTGATGTGTCTCTCCCAGCAAGAATAAATTGATCAGTTCTTATATCCCGATAAATGAGTCTCATAATAAAGCAACAATTGTTAACCTGTACGTGTATTTGAATAAAGATTTAAAATTTCTTTGCCATTCATTGTAGATCATAGAAAAATATCATGTATTCTATCGTCCGTCCATTAGGTTTATTGCAATATTGCTACAAAGAAAAATTGTAGATATTTTAATCAATAGTGTTATGAAATGTATATTCTATAGAAATCTTGGGTTGTATTCTAAAAACTATGATAGTGAGAGGTTTTTTATTTGTCATATCTAACCTGAATTAAGACATCAGTGCCACATCATAGATCTGGATGCTGTCTGCAAACATTTCAATTTAGTATGACAAATTAATAACTCTCGCTATTAAAGTGAAAGATAAATTAGTTTGCCAGAATACCACCTCAGACTCTGAAATCAAACTTCATGGCTCAAATTCACAAAGGAGGTTTAGATCTGACCCATGGTTTAAGCCATATCAGTTAAATAACCCATGGTTTAAAATTAGCACAGATTAAGCATACCTTGCCTCGTACGCGTCTAATAGACCATGGGTTATGTAAATGAGGGTTTAAACCATGGGTTAAATGTTAACCTCCTTTGTGCATTTGGGCCTATCTGTTTATAGTCGGGAGGGTGTTGAGTCACAAGAGTTATATTTGCTCTTCTGGCTCACCATAGATCATTTCTTACAAGATAATAATTTGACATTTTTGTATATATTTGTGAATTTCTTGATGATTTGATATGTATTCTATGGTATAACTATTTTCATGTATAAATATATTGCACTACACAAATAAACTTGTTTAAATGGAATAAATACTGTGTATTACTTGACATTTCTTTCAATTTGTATCAACTTAAGAAGTATAAACTCTCCACTACTTAAATTTACTTCAGAACTAAATGCAAATTATAAGCTCTAAGCTAAATAGTTGGGATACATGACTTCTTGATTTCCTTTGATAGCTTTTACATTTGCAAAGTTGATTCAAGACAGGCGAGTTAAGAAATATTTTTTTTTTTTTTTTTTTTTTTTTTTTGGGGGGGGGGTATTTCATTCCAAAACTATATCACCTTAAAATTTAAAAAAATTGTTTAAATTTATGAACAATGATAAGATAAGATAGGTCAAAGTGTTTATTCTATGCAATATTAATTTGTTGATTACCACTCTTTTCACAACCATAAAAGATAATTAGTTTTCAGGATATACTATTTAGATCTTATCTGCCCCTTTTAAGGACTCTCACTCATTTTTGAAAGAGTATACCTAATATGTACAATCCTCAAAACATAACTAATAATTACCCACTTTGTTGATTTACTACAATTCACCATTGAAACTGCGTGCAACAAAAATCTCCCAGCAAAAAATACAAGATGATGCGTTTCCTTTAATTTATAGCCTTTTATTAAAGTACAAAATATACACAATATAAATAGACATATCCTGTGCAAAATTTGGATAAAAGAAAGCACTATGAATAATAAGATGATTGATTTCAAGGCATTTCATACAGGACGGAATGGAAATGTAATTTTAAAGGAGGAACTGTTCTGAAGTTTTTTTCTGGTGAAAACGGACACACACACTAACACTTTGAAACGTAAAGTCATCATGTTGTATAGGGTAATGATCAGAGAGTATCCTATTGGCTAAAAAGCAATCACATGACATTCAATTACATTGTCATATGAGGGTAGATGTATCACCCTGTTTTATACATACTGTGCATTCACATTGAAAAAAAGAAGATGTTGTATTGCCCTTTGTGACCGTCCCAAAAATCTTGAAATCTACGGTCTGCTTTTTTAAAAAGTTTTTTTTTTTACCGTTTTTTAGAGGAAAAAAATATTGAAGCATTCAAAACTGAGAAGTATCAGCTTAAAGAGGGAGAAAAAAAAAAGAAGAAAAAAATATTTCCGACCCATGTCTTGGCACTTAAAGGGCAATACAACATCTTTTTTTTTTAAAGCCCAACTATAAATTCTAAACAACTAATATTGCATACACATCGTCATTCTAAATCACAAAATTCACCTTCAAATTCGGCATGTTCCTCATGGCTTGTGCCACAATATTTCAAGTCCAATCTGCTGCTCGAGATATTCTTAATTTAGAAGTTTATTCATCAAGTTTAAGTAGAACTGGGAAGTATGCAATATTTGTATAATTTTACATGAAACCCCTAATTACTGCCATTAATAGCCGCAAATCTGGCCCATCATTCAATACAAAACATAACATATCTCGAAACTTGTTTAACATACAGTGTCAAAAATCAGCAACATCTCACAGCCCTAAGCAGACGTTTCTCATTTGATTTGTAAAATACATGTATGCAGGTTTAACGTGAATGAATTCAAAAGTAGTGATGGTAGCTATCAAACTTCATGGGCTTGGCTTATTCATGAAATCATGCAATTTCCACACAACAAGTTTCAAAATTGGACTAAAGCAACCACTTGAAGATAAACCTCCGGAGATCAGAAGGTCTCCAACTTCAGATCAAAATGTATAAATCTGGAGCGTCCACACAATCTGCAGCTCTTCCTCTCCTCCATCGTATCATAGGTAGAACATCAATGTGATAGACAAACGAAAGGAAAGCAAGATCTTCAATGTCATTCAAACATTGCATGATAGATAGAACAGAGACGGGCTAACTCGGACCCAGGGACAACTAGGCCCGCTGCAAAAATGGTCAGTTTTTGCAGGTTAGGGTTAAGGTTAGGGTTAGGGTAAGGGTTAGGTTTAGGGTCAGGGTTAGGGAAGGGGTTAAAGGTAAAATGACAAAAAACAACCTTTTTTGCAGCAGGGCCGAGTTGTCTCCGGGTCCGAGTTAGCCCGGATCCGATAGAACATAATTGTGAGAGATAGAATGAAGCAAGGCGATGCCTTTAATGCTATATTAAAGGCGGTACATCTGGATTGTCTATAAAGTCCTCGCTGTTTTTCCTTTCCTCCACAGTCTGACATCTAGCCTGTACTGGTCCCTTAGTTGGTCTTCCATTGCTATTGGTCACCATCAGATCAACATGTTTTCCACTGCTAGGATCAACCTCTAACGTCTCAAGCTTCTGCCTGTAATCAATCATCACAATATCAAATCAGGAATTTAGATTTTAAATAATTAATTTATCATTTAATTGGCTCAAATGCACAAATCTTCTTCCACATCTTATTTTAAAGCTTATATGTACTAGCTTACAGGAGGGATTAGACCACCCCGCAAGGTCACAGAATAGGTGGTTATCTCATCAACTCAGCTCTCAGTTAACATAAGAAAAAGAGGATCATGGGGGACCAAAGGGTACTGATCAGGCTTGTTTTCTATATAGAGGGAGCAAGTAGCTACAAGTAGGACAGTGTGGCTTAAAATCAAATTAAGGGTTTAGATAATGTGGTAGTTTCAATGCCCATATATTTTTACCCTAAAAATGAGAAATGGGAGGTTTGAGATATATAAGGTTAATAATTATAATAATCATAGGAATTTCTATAGCGCCATCTATCTAGAAATTCTATTCAGAGGTGCATTAATTATTACCCCGTCTTTAGCCTAGCTGCCATTACAAAGCTCTAGCATTTCAAGGAATTAATTCCTGCCAGGTACTCATTTACCTCTCCAGAGTTGAGGTTCTATATAGCAACCTTTCATGCCTTTAGCCTATTCATATATATGTATCTACTCTATAAAAACTCTTAAGACATCTCCATGGTTACTGTACAAGCCTCCTGACTCTTCCACTCATCTCTGGAACTTCAGCATAGAACAAGTAGAGCATAACATGTCCAAGGTATCTCTCATTCCATCAAAACTCAGTAACAAGCAGAGCATAACATGTCCAAGGTATCTCTTATTCCATCAAAACTCAGTAACAAGCAGAGCATAACATGTCCAAGGTATCTCTTATTCCATCAAAACTCACTAACAAGTAGAGCATAACATGTCCAAGGTATCTCTTATTCCATCAAAACTCAGTAACAAGCAGAGCATAACATGTCCAAGGTATCTCTTATTCCATCAAAACTCACTAACAAGTAGAGCATAACATGTCCAAGGTATCTCTTATTCCATCAAAACTCAGTAACAAGCAGAGCATAACATGTCCAAGGTATCTCTTATTCCATCAAAACTCACTAACAATCAGAGCATAACATGTCCAAGGTATCTCTTATTCCATCAAAACTCAGTAACAAGCAGAGCATAACATGTCCAAGGTATCTCTTATTCCATCAAAACTCAGTAACAAATATAGAGCAACTTGCAAAAATATTTTGTTATGTAATTCAACTGTGAAGCAATGGAGAGGGGGGGGGGGGGTAATTTGACTGAACTTTGATGTAATATATTTGTTGCTTACTCTACTGATGAGGTCTTGGTTGTGTCTTTATTGCTGGTAGTGCTTGGTTTGGGTTTTGATGAGCTCTTCTTTGGTCTGATGTACTCCTTAACCTGAAATCAGATCAGAGAAACAATCAATCAATCATATGAAAAACAATCATCAATGTAAGTAACAAAGACGTATGTTTTAAGAAATGCAAGTTCATAATCGCTTTCAGGATGGGGGTAAGGACATGTTGCCTGTAAGCATAAATGGCACACAATCAAAGCAAATTGTTTGTTGAAATAATAATTTCTTGTCATGATTACGACTATCTTCAATAACAAGAAATAAGGAAGTACCTGTATTTCAAAACAACATACAGGTAGTTTTTTTGTGTTTTTTTAATTTAAACTGACAACTAAATTAATGAAAAATTGGGGGGAGGGGGAGGTGTTGAATATAAAAAAGTGTTGCCATCTGATGATGGTAATGCAAATCCTTAAGGGAGCAATGCCATATTAGGGTTCTATGCCTAAGACTATCAAGTTTAATAAATAAGTTTGATAAACAATACTTAATCATATTTAAATAATAGCTCTCAAAATGCAGTCTGTAGCAAAGTTACAGATAATTTTTGATAGAAATGATCCCTCAAACATGGACCAATCATGACATACCTTAGGCATCTTGACCAGGAGATGACCAGTGGTCAAGGATCTTTTAGCTTCACTAGCATCAGGCATCACCTCTTCAGTAAGGGTTAACTGTAAAACCTGGTATAAAACATAATATTTTATTAAAGTTAATACAAAGTTTTGGGGAATTTTGAAAATTGGGTGGACAGTGATTCTTTACAATTTTGATATATTTGGATGCCCCTATGGATGTATTATAAGCACTAGAAAATTTAGCCCCTGAAACACTTCTGCTTTTGAGGAAAATTGAATATAAAAATTTACCGGTGCTCCCGGTAAATTATGATAAATTTAAAATACCGCCTACGGCCGTACAATGGTAGCTGCGACCATGAAAATCTCAGAATATGTAGTTGTGATATATAATTTCCAATTGGGAATAGCTAATTGGTCGATTTTATTCAAGAAACATTTTTTTATATCTTAATTGATATCTTGACCTTGAGAGGGAGCTATACCACATGAAGAGTTTTTGTTATATACAATTTCACAACTTTAGACTCGATTTCAACCGCGACAAGGATCATTGAATATTGTAGGATCGCATATACTTCCAATATGTTCATTTGAACCAAATTCATGACACCCATACCAAAACTTTGTATTATCTTTAAGTTCACTAGCATCACCTCTTTTTAGTAAGGATTAACTGTAAAACCTGCTATGCATATAACGATAACATTAATATCAAAGCCCATTCCGTATTTAAAGATGAAGTTGAGTTCTGGTCATGCGATTGCATTGTGAAAGAAACGGTTTGGAATCGACCAGAAAAGGTTGATCATCTAGCATATAAGAATTTGTGTGTATTGCAAGGTTCGAGAATCATCAAAATGATAAGAAATTTGGCCATGTCTTTGTAACGTTACAAACATCTTTAAGTTCACTAGCATCACCTCTTTTTAGTAAGGATTAACTGTAAAACCTGCTATGCATATAACGATAACATTAATATCAAAGCCCATTCCGTATTTAAAGATGAAGTTGAGTTCTGGTCATGCGATTGCATTGTGAAAGAAACGGTGTGGAATCGACCAGAAAAGGTTGATCATCTAGCATATAAGAATTTGTGTGTATTGCAAGGTTCGAGAATCATCAAAATGATAAGAAATTTGGCCATGTCTTTGTAACGTTACAAACACTGTACACAGAAAAATGTATATGGGACTACACGAACACATGGCGTAAAAATCCTACCCCAGAGTTTTACGAAGTTACATGACATATTTAGAATATGAAGGCATTTGAAGAGCCATGCTTTTCAGGGAACATGTCTTATCTGATGTTCTTCCACACTTGCATAATAAGAATGATAACGCTCACAAATTATTTTTCACCTCTTCCCAGAACTCAACCTTATCTTTAAGAGAATAATCGACAAATCATCAAAAAACAAAAAGTGTATTCAGTCAGGATGGTCAACTTTAGTTTTTTGGATTTTCTGAAACTTTCTTCTAAAAAATTTCAAAATTTGGAAGCACCAAGAAATTTAAAAGTGGAGTTTTTGGTAGTGTTTTGTTGACCTTTTTTTATCTGATCTTGTGCTACTGATCTCATCATGATCTCCTGTAACTTTGAAATAGGACAAGTTATTGCATTAATTAGCTGGATAAAACAAATATAATACTTTAGTTTCAAATTCACCGTGTCTTATGGATTAGCATAAATTGTTCAACAATAATAATGAAATTAATATGAAATTAATAAAAATAATTTTGTGCTTATTGGTGTGCCAAGTTTTTAAACAATCTGATAATCACTTCTCAAAAAATTCTATAGAGTTCTAATCATCTTAATTTCGTCACCTTGCACAATAAAGTCAAAGCACTTTTCTCTAAAGTAACATTCTTCTCTTATTTTTCTCCATAGGGCAAGCAACATCCATTGTGATGAGTACTTATGATCTTACCTTTCCTTTGAGAACTACTTTAACATGCGTAGGTTGAACATCTACATCAATGAGTGATGTGTCTAGGTGCTTGAAACATGAAACATCTAAATCGAATGTGTTCTCTTCTTCATTGTCAGTCAGAGAGAAATCAATTCTGAAGATACAAGGAAAGGAAAGACAGTATCACTGAATTATAGCTTGATATAACTGAGTTCTATTCTTGACATACTGGTAAGTATCAATGTATTAAACAACAGTTCACTTTCTTATACCGGTATTTGTTCATTTTTCAGCATTAGAAGTGTTTAGAATTTCCCATTTTCAGTTGTCGTATCTTCAACCTCGCATGAAATGCAAAGTATATGCAAGCTTCAACAAATGCTTTAAAAAGAAAGGGGATCGTGACATGAAACACACGAAGAAAAAAAAACAAGGACATTGACAATTTTTACCCATTGAATAACAAAAAGCCAAGGATAATCATTTCTTATTGGTTGTGTGCGCCTTGTGGCTGCCCGCCTACAGAGCTCTTGATTTTCAGTATATTTTTGCTATTTCTGATATTTCTTTGATTGTGAATTGTATTCTATCTATGAATGTCTGTCTTCAAGCACCTGTGGTAAAGTTTTTGAGATTTTTTACACTGTATTTCTAGCGTATTTAGAGTAAGATTTATTCTCAGTTTTGCCATACTGTATGTAGGTACAGCCATTTCTGTTTTGCCTATACATAGACCATACTGTACATGTATTTGGCATTGTGTGATCACTCTCACAGACACAATGATACCATTGAAATTGTATTCCATTGTATTGGTGGTGCTTCTCTTGTGTAGAAGCACTCAGCTACCACATACTTATTGTTGTATGAGAGCTAGCTACTCTCAGCAGTTCAATGTCTCTGCACAATCAAAGGGAAAGTATATTGGGGGTCCCATACTGTACTATCACAATTCTGTGTCAACCTATCATGTCAAACTACTAAGTTGTGGGGATATTAACCCTAACCCAGGCCCTTCTGGTGATGACTCCGCCACGACTTTGGATATTCATAGGATTCAGTATACGAGTGAATTTCTACACTCACTCAATTCCGGAAGTACATGTAAATGTGAAAAATGGCGTGAGGACAACACCTTGGCCTGGGGGAGGATTTTATCCCTAGGTATCGGGCGACGGCTGAGGACACATCGGGGGAAAAGGGGTGGCCGTGACGGATTCGAAGACCATCTTAAATTATGTACTATCAATGCACGCTCCCTTCGAAATAAATCCACAATTTTTAATGACTTTGTTAAGGATAACAAATGTGATATCGCTGCTATCAGTGAGACATGGCTGTCTGCATCTGATGATGCAGTCATAGCTGACCTCACTCCCCCTGGTTTTGCATTTCTGCACCACCCCAGAGCCTCCAGGCGTGGAGGTGGTGTCGGGCTCCTGTACAGGGACAATCTCTCTGTACATATTAACCAATTAGTTAACTATACAAGTTTTGAATCTATGTCAGCCGTGGTCTCCAATGGCATGACTAGTCTTGAGATCTTAGTCATGTATAGACCACCAGGTTATCAATCTTTTACATTGTTTATTAATGAATTCTCAGATCTGTTGGATGAGAAATTGTATAAATTATCTCCTCTGGTCATCACAGGAGATCTTAATATACATTTAGACAATCTCTCATCCCAACACACCCAAAGGTTCAATGATCTTGTCGACGGGCATGGACTCTGCCAGTTGGTGACTACGCCTACGCACGACCATGGCCATATCCTTGATGTCATTCTGGTCAGGAACTCCGATAGACTGTTGTACTCTCGCCTACAAGTAATACCCGGTATCTCTGATCATTCTGCTGTTACCTGTTTGCTACGTTTCGACAAGCCCCAGCGGAAAAATGCAACTTTTTCCTCTCGTAATATCAAGGGCATCAACAGGACTGATTTCGCCAACGATGTTACTAACAGTAGCATCATGTCTTCAGCAACAGAGAGCGTCGATGCTGCCGTTATCCGCTACAACTCAGAACTCTGCAGGTTACTGAACTCCCATGCTCCAGCCAAGACTCGGAAAGTAAGAGCTCATCAAGACAGTCCTTGGTATAACCATGACATCACCGAAGCGAAGAAAGAGCGGCGGAGACTTGAGAGGAAATGGCGGGACAATGGAAAGCTCTCGATTGACCGAGAGATGTTTTGTGCTCAGAGAGACCGGGTGAGCTACCTTGTCTCCAAGGCGAAACGTTCATACCACACCAGACTCATCGAGGACTGCGGCGATGATCACAAGAAACTCTACAATGTCGCCAATCGACTCTTGAACCGAAAACAGTCTTCTCCATTGCCGTCATATGTTGATGGCAATTCCATGGCTGAAACGTTTATTCAATTCTTCTGTTTAAAAGTTAAAAAAATCCGAGATAGCCTTAATCCAAATGTTTTACCACTGGAACCTGTCACCTCTTCCACACTAAGGACCTTTCAACATACCACCGCAGATGAAATTCTTTCCCTTCTTCGTAAATTGCCCCCTAAATCTTGTCCATTAGATCCAGTTCCTACCATTCTTTTAAAAGTTTGCGCTCCGATATTTGCCCCGATTATATCTCACATTGTTAATCTTAGTATGAATCAAGCCACTGTACCCTCAGTCTTAAAAACAGCACTTATACGCCCTTTGTTGAAGAAACCCTCTTTGGACAATGAATCCCTGAAAAATTACCGTCCTGTGTGTAATCTGCCATTTTTGTTCAAAATTCTAGAGAGAGTCGTGTTCTCTAGACTCTCAGATTATTTGCTGGAACACAATTTATTCGACCCTTTACAGTCGGCTTACCGCCCTCATCATAGTGTTGAGACCCTTCTCATCAATGTTTCAAGCTCAATCTTACGAGAAATGGACTCCGGATCCGTCACTGCCATGGTCCTTTTAGATCTGTCCTCAGCCTTCGACACCGTAGACCACAAAATACTTGTAAATACTCTAACAAGTCTGGGTATCCAGGACCAGGCTCTTGAATGGTTTGAATCCTATCTTTCATGCCATTCACAGTCTGTCCTTTTAAATGGTTTCACATCCTCCCCCAGGCCACTTGGCTGTGGAGTACCCCAAGGCTCTGTGGGCGGGCCCACCTTATTTTCAATATATTTAACCGGTCTCAGAAATGTTTTTCAACGTCATTCTGTTCGTTATCATTTATATGCAGATGACATACAAGTTTTTGTTTCTTTTCCGCCGCATCAAATTCGAGCTTCCCAAACCTTGCAAAATTTGGAAAATTGCATCGCTGATATTGACGCCTGGATGAAGTCACATTCTCTGCTATTAAATCATAGTAAATGCGAATTCATTCTTTTCGGCTCAAAATCTCAGTTGAATAAATTAAATATAGACTCAATTTCTATTTCCGGTAACACCATTCCCTTATCAAATTCATGTCGCGATCTTGGCGTCATTCTTGATTCTCAAATGTCTATGTCTAAACAAATCACAAGCATTTCCAGATCAGTTCGCTATCAATTGCGCAATATTGGCTTCATACGGAAATATCTGACTCGTTCGGCAACAGAGAAACTTGTTCACTCACTTATTTCTTCACGTTTGGATTTCGGCAACAGTTTACTCTATAATTTACCAAATTCTCAAATTGCACAGTTACAAAAACTACAAAACGCAGCTGCACGCATCATTTCTCTGTCAAGCAAACATAGTCACATTACACCTATCTTACAAAATCTCCATTGGTTGCCTGTAAAAGAACGTATAATTTTCAAAATCCTCCTTTTAGTTCATCAAATCATGAACAGAACAGCTCCTGAATACAACCAGTCTTTAGTTCACCTCTACCAACCCACACGTACCCTCCGATCTTCCAACTCTGGTCTTCTACACATACCGCTTTCAAAGAAATCTTGGGGGGAACGAGCTTTTGCTCATGCCGGACCAGCCCTGTGGAATTCACTTCCACAGGAGCTGAAGAACTCCGACTCTTCAACATCTTTTAAGAGCAACCTTAAATCCCATTTGTTTAATTTTGCGTTTTGAAGACAGACATTCATTCTTTCATTCTTTCATTTATGCATTTTCTTTCTTATGTAAATGTACACGATTCTTTGTCATGATGTAATGTGTTCCCTTATATTTTGAAGCGCCTTGAGCATTTAATCAAAATGGATAATGGCGCTATATAAATCTCATGTATTATTATTATTATTATTATTATTAAAATATATCAAAGAAACTCTTGAAACTTACTTTGCTTCATTGACATTAAGCGGGTTCCCGTCGTCTGTCGTCAGTCTTACAACTCTCTTTGGTGGGTTAGGACCTTGCTTCTTACTGTCATAACAACAAAGAAAAACTGATTTTTATCTTTGTCAAGTCATTCACATTTCATCTGATCGGTGGTGTTAACGTTTAGAGTTTACTTATAATCATTTAGCGATGTTATTTCATCTGCGGCAGGTATTACAATACTCTTTAGGCCCAGCAATGACTTACATAGCCCAGTTAGAAAATGACACCTGTCTACCAAGGCAGGAACTCCCAAAGATCATGGAGAATAGAACTGAATGGAAAAAGCTTTGTCAAATCAGTGCGAGTACACTCGACCTAGTAGTAGTAGTTAGGCCCTTATTACTTGCATAAGAAGATACAAAGAGGTTTGCTTTTAAGCGGGTCCCAAGCTTTAAGAAGCAATAATGATGATTTTAGTTATATCTGGACATCATGTAATTTCATTTTCACAAGTGCAACACATGAGAACATCATTGTACACTTTCAGAACATAATTTGACTACCAACCATATAAATAATTTGTAAGGATATTCCTTGGCATGGATATGTGTGTTAGGATATCGGTGAACTTTCAATTTTCAACTTGTGGTGGTTTATGACAATACAGATCTTTCATACTCCCTTACCATCTTTTGTTATTAAGTTTTAGTTCATTGAGTGGCAACCTCTCTGTCTTCCTTTATAAATCAATTCTTGAGTCTTTTTCTTCAGACACATTTATTCAAAATTGCTTTTGAAGATTAACTTGCTCTGTTCATATTGATGTATATTTCAGTATGTATTGTAATTTGTAGGTTCATTTGCATTTTGTTTGTTTTGTTTAATATGTAATTGTTTATCATTGTATTTTGTTCGTTATAGCCATTGAGACTTCGGTGGTAAGCAGTTTTTAAGCACAGTTTTTATTATGATTATTATGGTAATGTTCAGACCCCACAGGTTAAGAAGCTGGTGTGATTAGTACATACATCTTTATATAAATCCAAATAAATCCAAACCAAGCTCTGACCTTCTTTCCTCTTCCTCTTGTCTCTTCTTCTCCTGTACATGTTCACTCAGAGCCACTCGAGATTCAGGTGTAAAACCAACCTTCTCATTCCAAAACCTCAAATGAAAAGTTTTCCAAGAAATATTCATTAATACAAAAAATATCCATGGTATAAGGTTCCTTACTATTACTACTAGTAATAATAAGCAAATATTAATTGACTACGAGGGTAATGGTGCAAACTATCATCACCGAGGCGATGATAGTTTGTATCCATTGCTCGAGTAAAGGAGGTTAATATTTGTTTTATATCCCACATCGGCAATAAGGTCTATTTAAAGTGAATGTTACATAATAATAAGAATTGATTCTGCAGACAGTTTAGCTTCAGCTAGATTTTACAAAGCACAACATGCATACATGTAATACAGTCGATGCGTGCTCATTTGACATTGACATTGACTTTGACATTTCGCGTAACCTACTTTGCTATGCGTATTCAATGGGCAAGGGTGGGCAAGTGGGGTAGCAGCAAAAAATTACTTTACAAAAGTACTATCTAAGGTAGATAGTACTTATCTATATTTTATCATGTGACCTCTTTTAGACCATGCATCTGATTGCAATATTCTTTGTATGCATGATACAATATACAAATACACAATGACACTCGAGGATCTAGCTGAAACTATTCGCATCGAAGGAACATCAACTAGTACTACATGTATTCTCCCGAGGGCCATCGGCCTGAGGGAGAAAAGTACTAATGATGTTCCTGAGTGCGAATGGTTTTAGCTTGTTCCGAGAATGAGTCATTTTATATTTGTTTTATATCCCTTCCATCTGTATTATTCCTTGTAAACTTCTGTAATAACATGAACCTTATACTCACATTCACATCTACATTCAGATCGAAAAGAAATAAAGAAAATTGCACGGCTCAAATGAAACATTGAAGGATGTAAAAATGTTTAGCTGGCGCTAGTGTAGTGCAGTTATCGCACAGTGTATGGCTTGAGCGCCGTGACACCGCAGGGGTTGACCACGCAGAGGCACTTTGAAATCATGTACGCGCTCGCTAGGAAAACGCATAGTTAAAGAATATGCGGGGTTTTTTTGTGACGTCACGCATAGTACCTTTTTTCCCCAGGGAAAAAAAGGTACTATGCGTGACGTCATCAATAAAAATGAACTATTTCGATCTAGTCGGCAGGAAACGTCTTTTACAGTAAAACTACCGTAAATCTCTGTGTATAAGGCGCACTTTTTTGCCGCCGAAAAAATTTAAAAGTCGGGGGTGCGTCTTATACACAGGTACAGAAAAAAAAAAGTTTTTTTTTTTTTTTTTTTTTTTTTTAGTTTTTTTTTTTTTAGTATTTTTTTAGTTTTTATTTATGGCGCTATGCCTGGCAATGTCTCCTAGCTCAGTAATCAGTGTGGTGACTCACCACTCGGAAACTACAACAACACTCAAATTTGTCTGTCATCTTGGTTTGAAAGTAATCTTTCTAATAGATCTCAATATGTAGTTTATAATAATAATTCCTCAAATTTATTTTCTATAACAAATGGTGTACCACAAGGTTCTATCCTAGGTACTCCATTGTCAGAAATTTAGAGGATGCTATTCATATCATGCATGACTATTGATGTTTGGCATAGAACACAGTGCTTCTGCTAGGTGATGTGAAGAGGCTGGTGTGGGACACTTGGTATCATGAAGCCTTAGACTGTTGTTACTATTATTTTTGAAAAGTTCACAACTTCAACTGCACCTCGATGTAGAATGAAGGTCCTTCCCCGCATGGGTTTTCGGCAACAAAACAACAACAACAACAAAACAAAAAAAAGATTTTTTTTTTTTTTTTTTTTTTTTTTTTTTTTTTTTTTTTTTTTTTCCCCCAAAAAAAATAGGGGTGCGCCTTATACACGGAGATTTACGGTATTCTTTTTCTTGTTGTGTATACACCTAATGCAACAATCTTACGATAAGGGATATAATATTGGATATTTATATAGCGCACATATCCACCATGCAAGGTGCTCCAACTATTACCCTGACTCAGCTAGGCTGCGGCGATTTCAGAGCTCACAGCATTCAAGAAATTCCTTCCTACCGGTACCCATTTAACACCTGGGTGCCGTGGTGGGACTCGAACTGCGAACCCTGTGATCCACAGTCCAACGACTTATCCATTAGACCACATCACCTCTGCTATAACAGTTATCATGACTATGATCTTCCAATGGAATTGGAAATAAATATTTTCTCTGGAAATAAAAACAACTTCGCTAGAACATCTTAAAAGGTATGTCTTTGTAATATTCATGGGTGATAGTGAGCACTAACCCTCCTCCCTCCCCCCCCCCCCTTGACTGAAAAAAATAAGTATTCTGGGGAAAAAATGGCATCTAACAACATCCCCCCCCCCCTCCTCCATTTTGAGTAAGAAAATCAGGAAAAATAGGAGTAAAATCAGAAAAAATCGGGGAGGGGGAGTTCGGGAAGAAAAAAATAATCAGCAGATGAATATTACCGCTACATGATGCTGCAATAAACATTTTGATACTTACCCTATCGTGTAAGTCAGACAAGTGGATTTCAAGGTAACTTACCCAGGCTCACGGTTTACTTCCTTAGACATTCCATGCTGGAACTTGAATGCCTCATTAATTTAAAACATGTAATGCCTACTGAGTGTTCACAAGTGCTGGTGTGACTTAGTACACTTTCCATTTATGCTTATATATAACTGAAACAAACAAGGCATAATAATATATCTTTGAAGATAAACTCAGCAAACTTACTCTTCTTCTTCATCCTCCTCCTCATCTTTACTCTTTGGTTTCTCTCGGAGTGTATCACTGTAGAAGAGATTAAATGAAAGATAGCAAGATGAAAAAAAATAAAAGAGACATAGAAGAGAGAGAGAGGTAGAAACAGACAGAGACATAGGAGAGAGACGAGACAGACCGACAGACAGAGACAGAACGATAGAGACAGACAGAGACAGATAGACATACATATAGGCAGAGACAGAAAGAGAGAGAGAGACAGAAAGAGAGACAGAACAATAGAGACATAGAAGAGAGACAGACACAGAGACAGACAAACATATAGACAGACAGAGACAGAAAGAGACAGACAGACAGACAGAAAGAGACAGATAGAGACATAGGAGAGAGACAGACAGAAAAAGAGACAGTACAATAGAGACATAGAAGAGAGACAGACACAGAGACAGACAGACATATAGACAGACAGAGACAGAAAGAGAGAGAAAAGGGCCTAGGGGAGAGAGAGAGAGAGACAGACAGACAGACAGACAGACACAGACAGAGAGACAGAGAGAGGGATAGAGTGTGTGATTGCTGTATTCACCAGCAATATTAGCATTAATATCTACCTGAGACAAGACCCACACAATATATGATTAAATTCATTTACTAATCATTATTTCTGCAGGACAAAAGAACTATTAATCAATAATTCTATAAAGTGATTTTATTGATTTAAAATCATACATTCAAAATAGCAGCCAAAGGCTGAAACAAGTTAAATTTACCAAAGATTAATAATTACATTAAAATACAATATATTGAAATTGGTTCAATAAAATAAACTAATATGCACGATAAATGTGTTTTCACTCACTAAACATTAAATTAAACATATGATTTGGCAAATTTGACACATTCTCCTTTCTTTCACAAATATCTGGCTTTCAAAGCATCACCCCCCCCCCCCCTGACACACACACAGGTTATTAGAATTGGAAAGTTAATAACTTACTCTTCATTGATATCTGTGTACCATGTTTTATCGAAACCTTTCTTCCTTTCTTTCTTCTCTTCCTTTTCCTTCTTGTGATTCTCCGCTTCAGATTTCTCTTTCTCCTAGAAACAGAATCATGGACAAGAACAAAATCAGAATTCTCTCTCTCTCTCTCTGCCCTATCCTTCTTTTTCATCATATTAAAGAGAAATTCTAACATATAACCCTTATTGCGTCAATATTTTTATATTCTTCTTCCCAATCTCCTTCTCCTCACTTTGTTTACCTCAACGAAAACCCTTTCACTGTTATAGGCTGTTTGGAATACCTACATTTCTGTTAACATATATTTGTTGAGAAAGATAACTGTCATGCATCTCAACATTCAAAACAGGGTCAAGAATTTAGATTTGATGTCATGGAATAATATCTGTATCAAGATGAATAAAAAGAAGAACTTTGTTTGAAAATCTATATCCAATATATGTGTTGAAGGGCACATACATGTAATTATCAAGTTTGGTAATGAACTATAATCTTTACCTTTTCTCCTGTATCTTCAATGATCAGCAGAGATACTTACCCTTCTAAGTTGATATGCTTTCTGTTGTTCAAGAATCTTAGGTCTGATTGCATCCACTTCTTGTAGAGCTGATATTCGCTCAGATTTCTCGATTTCTTTCCCATCTAATCTCTGCAATATAGACAGGCAGGCATGTTTCATGTCAAATCAAATACATGCATTGAATCTTTCCAAAACAAACAAATTTCTGCACGTAATTAAGGGGTAGTAATATTCAAAATCCTCCGGAAGCGAATTTAGACATTCTATTGTAATGTGGTAAGCATTATACACAAGAACAGAATGTAAACACAGTCAAATCTGCTTTACAAAGACCACATTTTTTGTTTCCCTTGAAATGGTTTCTCATTGAAACATGTACTAAAGGAAGCTGTACATAAAGACCACCTGCCTATAAAGACCACTTTTCTTGTCTCCCTCGGGTGGTCTTTATAGACAGGTATCACTTTACTATCATTATTATGCCAAATAAACCTTGTACCGTATACATGTACATTGTATTACACATATAACATTCAAGAAATTTTTCATTCACTGATACTGTATATCCATCTTCACAGAACTTTCTCAAGAACTAAATTTTTATAACTGATAATGTTAAGGAATTCAGATGTCTTATCCTACTACTGTTCACATAACGATATATGCCACTCTCCCTTTCATTTTTTCTAACAAATGAAAATGTCCAATAATCTAAAAGTTACCTTTAGCTGTGGTAGAGTCCCAATAACAAACTCCTTGTAACCTTCATATTCTGTGCATGGATTACCTGTAAGGAATCTAGTGTAATGGAAAAACTCATTCAATTCACCTCTGTAAAAATATCTTAAAGGTATACACCAGTAGTGGTAAAATTGCGATTCAAGGGTTTTGGGTGCAAAATATCCATTCAATATTGTTTAAATATTACCTTCAGAGGTTTGAATGGCAATTCTTCAACCTAAATTTGCAAAAAAACTAAAATATATGCCTGAATGTTCAATGTTAAAGTGCATTCACGACATCTATCCAGGCCAGATCAATATGATAATTCACCAAATATATCCATTAGTAGGCAGTTTCCCGGCAAAATTTGTATCATAACGTATTAGTCAAAACATATTCTTTCACATGATTGGTAATAAGAGCTTTCATTTCATTTTTGGAGAGGGGGGCGTTTCCAAATTGGTCTATACCTTTAAGGGGGCTATAAAAGCATTTTTTTCTATGAAAACAAAAGAATGCATACAGTGTTGAGGTTTATTTTAGCAAGGCTTCCCTACTGAAGCTCTCAAATATTCAAAGAATTTCTTTTGAGAAGGTTCCCACTTACTAAACCCAGGTAGAGAGTGGCTAAAGCTCTATGTATTTTAGCACTTGCCTTAGGAAGAGGTGTCATGTCATTGATCAAACTTTGCAATAATATCTTGAGATTAAATATCAATGTCACCTCCATACATGCAGTTCAAGATATACATGATGTAAGTGATTATAACTCTGTGATTGATTGGAGGACATCACTCCCAACCCGTTATATGAAGAGCTAAGTAAGTAGAGACCAATAGTCCGTGATGCTTTCAAGAAATAGCTCTCCTGCATGAACCTTCACATGCAATCTTAAAGTCAGAGATTCAAATGAAATATAAATATCTCTGAAGCTGATCTTAAAGGGATCATTTAACAGTGTTAAATCTGAGATGCATGGCCCTACGTGTTAGCAGTGTCTGTAATATGGTGTTATATTAAAGCCCTAAAAAATTGCGCTTCAAAATAATCAATAAGTGCCTCAAAAAAGTAGAAACCTTTGAGTGACCGGTTTTACCATACTCATTTACCCTAAGAGACTGTAGTGTTATGAAAACCGTTTGGCAAACGCAAAATTTGATTTTGATTTTCAATCATAAATATCTTGATATTCAGACAGGCTTGTAAAAGTCGTGGGGTTCCTAACTGACCTAAAAGTTTATAATTATCATTGCAGCATGAGCTAAATCAACGAATTTTTTCAAGGATCTAAGACAAAGTTACCGGAACCCTTTAAGAAATGTTATTGGGAGAAGCAAAAGTTGCCTGGTATTATGAGCTTACATCTCTCTGAGGCTATAACTATCCCTGAGGCACTCGATACTGGTCAGCTCACCAACAAAGTTCACCGTCAGGTCAAGCTTCGTCAGAGATTCACATCCTGTATAGACGAGAGAAACACACATCGGTAAACTTCATGGTTTCAGTTTGCCTACTTGACAATTTATGCAATAGTTTTTAAGCCAGACTTAATTCCTCATGTTTATGTTCAGTATCATGTCATGACCCAGTGTCATCATACATATTAATTTGATTTCCTCCTTGTGCTTTGTTTTTGTTAGCTGGTTTGTTCAAGAAATGTTATACATTTTGATAACCTTCATGCTATATTTTCCAGGTCTTCTGGGTGCACCAGTTGGTCGGGAAGAGGGACCATTACGGTTACAGTGATTTAGTTTGCTTTCCTCTTCCCGGGCAGCCAACTGATGCACTCAGAGGACCTCCAGGAAGACTGTGCATTTATTATTGACATTCTCTCAATGTTCCTTTACTTATATTTACATTGTTATATATTTTGTGAATTGCTGAATAAATAATAAATAAAAATACAAAGATATACATGTAGAATAGAATTATACAAAATAATAATACTGGTACATGTTCCATCATAATCAAACAAAATAATGAGAGAAAGAGAGAAATGTAAAAGATGCAGAAGAGAGCAAGGTGGTGGTGGTGGTGGTGGTGGTGGTGGGGGGGGGGAGGGGTTAAACTACTGGTACCTGATAGATTCTCTATCCTCTCCACATTATTCAGAGCAAGATTAAGATACTCTAGTTTCTTCAGCCGCCCAACGTTCTCTGCATGAAACAAATACAAGAGGAAGGTGTAATCAAGACTACAGAGGGAATGTTATTCAAATGCTTAATCCTTAAGTCAGCTAGGACAGTCATGTAAAGTACTCAAAGGGTAGTTTGCTGGAAAGTGAATGATATTCTTGTCATTACTAATACTCAAGACTTTTCAGCTAATTATCCCACAGCCCAATTCCACTTATTTTCCACTGAATATACTATGCCCTACATAATTGTATCTAGTTACCTAAAAATTGTCTGTGAAATTGGGCAACATTTGCATCATTAAGAAAATGCAAATATGATTGCAAAATACTGTACATGTTATATGTTGATGAATTACATCCATTAAGTATTGGCTGTTTGCAATGAAACAAAACCCATGGGAATTAAACAGCATTGTAAAATATGTTGCATCCATAAACGAGAAGAGAAGTAAAAACTCACCAATTTTAGGAATAAGATTACTTTGAAGGTAAAGAATCTTGAGATGTCTGCACCACTTGTCAAGAAACTCAATCCTGAATTAAACAGCAAAAATAGCATTTGGTAATGTCAAATAAAGTTTAGGTAAATATAATATATAATCCTTACTTACATATACATGTATACCTAATAATGATAGCACTTTATAGATTTACAGCATGAGTTATCACAAGGTTGAATACAAAATAATTCTCATAATCCCTGTGCAAGCATAAGTGAACCCGGAGTTTAACTAGCTTACGGTTAAGGAATGTACAGATCTGATCTGATTGTCTAATAATATTAGACTTTAATATACTTTGGATTGGTCAAGATTTGTTGAAGGTTTGTTGAAAATGTGATTTGTTGGTGATACTCCATTTAAAGCCCCACTGCTCTATTTATAGCTACTTGCACCCTCTATATAGCAAACAATGCCTAATCGGTGCCTGTTGGTCCCCCATTGAGAGCTGATTTGATGAGATAACCTCCTGTTAGTGACCTTGCAGGGAGGTCTAATTCCCCCTGGCCAAACTAGTACAGACAGGCTTTAAAGAGCAATTGATAATCAGTTTGATATCTTCTATTGATTTTGGAAAGCTACCAAAACCTCATAATACGGGATCATGACAGGTGGATGGAAATGCACTATTGTTAATTTTGAAGGGTCAGTGACACAAAGACGTAACTCCATTTTGGCCATTTTGAGAAAAAGTGGTTTATGTGTCACTGAGCACTTGGGCCTTAAGGGAGTTAATTCTATGTTTCACTAGCCATTGACTTCGATGGGGTGTTAGGTGGCGTTAAGTCTTTGTGTTTCCTGGAAACTGGAAAGCCCACATTTTTCTGAACATTTTGATATCAAATACTCATTTTGGCAAAATATGGAGTTACGTCTTTGTGTCACTGAACCCTCGATTTGTAATTCCATCATGACCTTCAAAATATCCAGCTATTTGTCCAGTGCGTCTTCACCAGATTGAAGACTCGCACTATGCGCTAACACTAGGCAAATATCTTGAGCTAATTTCTCAAGGTCGAGTTTCAAGTTTTGAGGTCGAATCTCGAGCTGATGAAGACGTGATTTGTAAATTTGGGATTATTTCCCAAATCACAAATAGCGGGCTATTTGGCAATCTCGAGATGATGAAGACGCGCCTATACTTACCTTTCTATATCTTGCTGATGAAGGGAGATTTCCTCAAGGGTGGATATCTCCATCTCGTTGTGTTCTGATCTCTTCCGTACCATATCTTCAGTGACTAAACACAACCAAAGTCACACAAATAATTTGATGAAAGAACACTTTTCTTCCTACAATCATTATTCATTTGCCATATAATTAATGCATAGTTTCAGATATCCGATGTGTTTTGTACAATTATCTTCATAGCAATTTTAGGTCCTAAAAGAGCACTAGAAATGTCATGACTAAGAACAAGCACAATAACCATGCACTTTGAAGGCATTTGCGGTCTGAAACAAGAAATCAACTATCCCTTTCAAACATCTTAAAGGCAGGCTTTACTACTTCAGGTAGAAGGGATTAGACCACCCAGCGAGCCAGCGAGGTCACTGTGACAGGTGGCTTTCTCATTAACTCAGCTCTCATTTAACATAAGAAAAGGAGGACCATGGGGGACCAACAGGCACCGATTGGGGAAGTTTTCTATATAGAGGGAGCAAGTACCTGTAGCTACAAGTAGGACAGTGTGCCTTTAAAAGAAGTGGTCGATAAATATATTTGACCTTCTATGGCAACTTTCACAATAATTCAACGGACTGACAGGAGATAAAATAATAAAAAAAGATATATTTCCCTTTAAAGCAAGATTTCATTTGGGAAATAGACCTATTCATAATTCCTGCAAAGTTCTTTAGAATTTGATGTTAACTTAATTTAATGGAAGGTGTCAAACTTCTCTTTTAAAAATTGATTGGAAAATAAAGATAAAAGTGAGAAATATGATTACCGTTTCAAAATTCAAGGATGAAAAAAAATTAAACAAATAAAGACTTACTTCGCACCATCTTGAATCAGAATATGCTCAGGAATGAAAGGTCAAAGGTTGAAGTGAATGCCACGGTCCTGCAGAAAGTGAATATTATTAATGATAAATTAGTATCCATTAATATCCATTAGGTTCTATGATAAAAAATTTGCGCCCGGGCCCGCGTCTTTTTTTAACTTAAGTAGGGTACCTGTCCTTGCCATCCTATCGCTGTATTTGATTGGCTCAATAGGAACCATACGTCATGCGCTAGTCTTAAATATTTATGATACGCACGCACACAGAATCTGATGCGAAAATTTATCAAATAATGAGATTAGATTAGATCTAGAGACTAGAATCTAGACTAGATCTAATGTACATACAAAACTAATACAAGTGCAAAGCTTGTAGATCTAGATCTAGATCTAGGTGACGGTCTATGTTTACTTCAAATGAATGACATTGTGAGAAAATCGGGTGGCTTACCATTAACGAATGACTACCCAGGTCATAAATTGTCCATAATCATTGCGAAATATTGGTTAAGTACAGAATCTGGCCGATTACAACTCACACATTTGGACAGCTCAGCCTCGCGCTTCTGCAGTTCTAGAACATACAAAAAATGACACGTATCGGACTAGGCCTAGATCTAGGTGGGAAATCATTGAAAAACTCAAAATGCCAAAAGCGGCAAAAGTTTCCCTAATAAAACTAATAAATACAGCAATTCACGTTTATAGAGAGCGAGCCATTTACATAACTAAGTAATCATTTTATAACATGCAAATAATGAAATATTTACCTGTCACTGGATGAGACTGAAGATTCTACAATGCTTGAATCGTCAGCGAATGGTCCAGCGCAGGCTAGCTAGCTCTGAGCGCGCTCCTAGTGCTATAGTTGTAGCGCTTGTGATGCCAGCTGCAGCCCGCAGGATCGCATCATCTGCTAGCTAGCTTGCTGTGTTGTTATCGTTACTGATTTTGTGGTCGTTGTTGTTGTTACTGTTGTTGTTGCTAATTTATATGGCAAAAAGTCAATTTTTACTGTTATTACCAAATACATCTTTTTCTTTTTTACATAAACTTTTATCACGAAAATTGTTTGGCCTCATGCACTTCGGGTGAGCATTGAGATGTGAGTTTTTTTTCCATGCAGGGAGTGCCAATTAACCCCATAGGACAGCTACCCCTAGCCCCTCCCCTACTTGGGGACGGGCTGATCCGTAAGTGGGGGCACAATATTACTTAAATTTGCTAGCAAGCCGTCAGGGGAAAATTGTCATCAGAATTATTGATACCCAAAGTATCCATGATACACCCCACCTCCTACCCCCCCCCCCCCCCCAACGTACAACATCTTTTAATCATAATATTCTCTGAATCTGTTAAAACGCTTGTAGGCCTCGGCCATATTTTGTGAAGACTTACTATAGTTGACAGTAGATTGATTAAAACTTTATTCCACATGACATATCATCTGATCTGATATCATGCGTCGACTTTTTCGAGAAACGATTAATGTAAAATCAATGGCGTATATTATAATGGGCGGAGCTGGAGCAATTAGTCTACAGGCCCGTATGGCCCGTATCCAGAGTTTTCAATTAGGGGTTCTTTTTTAAACGGCTAGGGGAGCATGCAGGGGCCCGGTGGGGGTTAAGGATTGATTGATTGATTTATTTTTATTCGACAAGCTTCGATACAACAATATACAATAATAACAGATCAAAATTAAGTCAGCTTGCACAGGATAACCCACGAAAGCTCGAGAGCTTATTTCCACGGTGGGGTCCCCTGGGTTTTCATGCCTTTTCAGACCCCAATGTCCCAATGTCTACAAATTTAAACCTATAAACCCAGGGCCAGGAACTAAGTTATTTTTCAGTTTTCCCCTCCCGCGCAAAGCGCGGAAGCTTTGACACTTCAATAAATTATTAGAGAAAGAAGACGATCCGTTGTCACTATCGTTTTCGACTTTTAATTCTTGTTTCGCCCCTCTCGCACGAAGCGCAGAAGCTTTGCCGTTTCATTAAATTATTAGAGAAATAAGACGATTCGCTTTACCGCTTTACTCTTAATCCTTGTCTGAATTCAGTTTCCCCACTTGGCCCTTAGTGACTCGGTAACACTGTTGAAGGTTGATGAAAAAATTGCTTAATTTTTGTATAAAATGTTACTCATTATATTCCTTTTACTGTACTAACCCTCTGACATGCAAAAAAATCCTCAAAAAATCCTCAAACCACGAAGCTTTCTATGGTTTACTTTGAAGGCGTCACTGTGCAACACCCTCTATTAGTTTTTCAAGCGTTTAAATGGAGCGAATTTCGTCTCCAGGCCGCCCTTCTGGCATCCGTTTACTTTTCATCGGCGTTTTTTCTGGCCCTGTACTTCCTTCTATGAATGCAGGAATATACCCCCTACTTCCTAAGGCAATTTCTGCCCGATCGCATACGTTTAAGCCTGCGGGAGGGGCTCCATTTTTGGGAAGATGACGTGAAACTCAAATAACTTTTTTAGGGTTTTTTAGGCATTAAAATGGAGCAAATTTCGTTTCCAGGCCGCCCTTTTGGCATCCGTTGATTTTTAATCGGGGTTTTCTCTGGTCCTGCACTTTCTTCTATGAGTGCAAGACTATAACCCCTACTTCCTAAAGCGATTTCTGCCCGATCGCATAAGTTTAAGCCTGCGGGAGGGGCACCATTTTTCAGGAAGCTGGAGTGAATTTCGTTTCCAGGCCGCCCTTTTGGCATCCGTTTACTTTTCATCAGGGTATTCTCTGGCCCTGGAAATTCTACTTTGCTTGATTGGGTATACCACCTACAGTCTATAATAAGGCCCTTGGTAAGGGTCCAGGGGACAGATCCCCCGTAAGCCCAGGGATTTTAGGTTTTTTTAATTACGGTCAGATGAGCATGCAGGGACCCACCTTAAGGCCCTGACATGAAGGCTTCTAAATAAGCATAATTATTTTTGCCTGACTGTAAATTTGGGAAGTTGTAGTTTTCCAACAAACACAATTTTTCATATACAATTATAATTTATAACCAAAATTGAAAAAAATTCCTGGAAAATCATGTCATTATAGCCAGGGGCGTAAATCGGGGGGGGGTGGATGGGGGATGCATCCCCCTGGCTCGAAGGAGGGGGGATGGCCTGTACAAACATCCCCCCCCCCCTGAGATTACAAAAAAAAAGAGTAAAAAAGGAAGAAAAAGAAGAAGAAAAAAATGTGAAAAAACCCATCCCCTTTTTAAAGAAATTAAGAGTCGAGAACGGTACAACGAATCGTCTTCTTTCTCTAATGATTTAATGAAACGTAAAAGCTTATGCGCTTCGCGCGGGAGGGGGGAGGGGGGACTGAATTCAGACGAGGATTATGAGTCGAGAACGGTACAACGAATCGTCTTCTTTCTCTAATGATTTAATGAAACGTAAAAGCTTCCGCTTGCGCGGGAGGGGGGGGGGGGGGACTGAATTCAGGCGAGGATTAAGAGTTGAGAACGGTACAACGAATCGTCTTCTTTCTCTAATGATTTAATGGGAACGGACGTGTAATTTTTACTCTCTCCAGCCACCGCCCTTTTATTCACCCAACGAACCCTTACTCGAGCTTAAGCATTTCTGCTTCAAGGATTTTACTGGACTATAGAGGATATTCATATCTTAGAATCTCATTCCACACTAGAAGCAGGGTTAAGTATCGCGAATTTTGAAGGAAATGGCTAATTCCAGGGCTTTACGTTCATCTGTAAGCACAAACGGACCCGCCCAATCTCCAGACCCGCAAGGTGCAAATACTACGAGAGGTGCCAGCAAGCCAGGCCCAAGTGAGCCGCTACTTCGCCCGCAAGCGGAACCCGAATTGACGCTCGCCGACATCCAGCGTTCGATAACCGCTAGCTCAGCTGCAGTATGCGGGAAACTGGACCTACTCACAGCAGAGGTGGCCTCCATCAAGCGCAGGCAAACCGAACTCGAGGATTCTGTTAGCATGAATTCCGATTTGGTTGCCAATCTTCAGCATGTAAAGCTACCCGCGATTGAAAAGAAAATGGCGGAAAAAATCGCCGACCTCGAAGAGAAGATTGTCATAATGGAAATCTACAATCGGCGCGCCAATCTTCTTTTTTACGGCGTTAATGAAACCCCCGACGAAAAAGTACGCGACGTCTTGCAAAAGGTCTTCATACACCTCGGCATCAATGAAAGGGAAGCTAACGACATCGCGATCGCAAACGCACACCGCCTACCAAGACGCAACAACGGAGCTACCGCCTCATCGACCCGCCCACAAGCCCCGAATGCAATCATCGCGAAGTTCGTTTACATGGAGGATCGTAACCGCCTGCTCGCCGCTTTCGAAAACGGTCAGCGCCAAAGGATCCCCCAAGATCGCGCCACGGCGTCAGTGAGAATCACAGTGCGCACAGACCTCCCCCCAGCCCTCAAAGCCAGGAGGGGAATGCTTGCCAAGATCGCTTACGACCTCCGGAAGCAAAAGGGAGTCTCCACTAAGATAATCGTTGTCGGAGCTTCAGTTGAACTCAAATGGAAGGAAAAAAACACCTCCAAGTGGAATAACCAGCAGGAGTAAGGTAAATCACCTCAGCATTGAACACAAATCACGATAATTATTCTCTACCTTCTCTGGAATATGCTCTGTTTACTGTGTGATACATGTACATCTATTTTACCGTTTCAACTTAAATGCATTTTAAATTCTGAATTAACTTTTGATTAACATGTAAACATACATGTAACCCGATACCGTAAGAAGGGTATCTCCCCCCCCCCCCCCACTTCCCCCCTACTTTCTCCCCCCCCCCCCCCCCCCCCCTCTCTCTCTTGCTTTTGCCTGAATTTTCTAAATTTCTTCTACGTGCGGTGGCTGAAAGGAGCCCATGAGTTTCTTGTACGTGTTCTAGTACAAGTGCTAAGTAATGAATTTTTTTGTTTTTATTTCTTATCTGTGTTTTGTCTCGATCTTATTTCCAATGAATGTATACGTATGTACAATTGATTCAGTTAACTTCCTGATTGATGCTACCTGTACTAAATCGGTTATTACATTCTATTGCGAACCATCTCTAATTCTACTATACAACAAATGTCATATTATAAACCACGCCTTTTGTGTATTTACACCACCTGAACGTTCTTCTTTCCTATTCATATTTATATACATGTCATTCCAGTTCATCTACTGGATTCTCCGTTATTCACCTGTTACTTCATGTTTTATCAATGACTGAACCTCTATTATCTAATGTTGGTAATGATCAACAACTTTTACCACCTGATAATTCACAGGCATCCTCCTCTTACATAACTACAGATAACGTTCGTCATGAAGCTGACACGGCTGAATATTTAAATTTATGCACTGCTGAGTTGCAACTGAACATGGACTCATGTGAGTCATTGTCAGGCAGCAAACATTCACGCTATTTTACAGAATCTCAGTTCATTGATCATTTTTCAAAGGCTGTCAATAAACTATCTTTTCTACAATGCAATGTCAGAAGTCTCGGTAAAAATTTTGACCAGTTTCAACTACTCCTGGACAAAATTAAATATGATTGTTCATTCATTGGTATTTGT